TGGGCATTATTCCATAAAATAATTATCTAAATAGTTCTACTAATATGAAATTATTAGAATTATTTCATGTTGTTGGTTGTAGTTGTGATGGATAGTTTCATGTGATTATACCTATTTAGATATTTTTTAGGGAAACTGAAGGTTAAAAGAGAGGGACACCCAACCCATCCCAACACCTGAAAGGCGACAGTCGCATAGGCGAAGGTCAGCATGTCTTCCCAACCTCGGCGCGGTGGTCAAATGCGGAGATTACCAAAAGGAGAAACGGTGGGTGAACTCCCCAATTAAGGGGGGCGAACTCCCCAATTAAGGGGGGCGAACTCCCCAATTAAGGGGGGCGAACTCCCCAATTAAGGGGGGCGAACTCCCCAATTAAGGGGGGTCTGGCTCACACAGCAAGGTCTGGCTCACACAGCAAGGTCTGGCTCACACAGCAAGGTCTGGCTCACACAGCAAGGTCTGGCTCACACAGCAAGGTCTGGCTCACACAGCAAGGTCTGGCTCACACAGCAAGGTCTGGCTCACACAGCGAGGCTTTTTTTTTTTCTGAGACACACATCCACATGGTTTCTACTTGGTCTTTGCATGGTTTCTGTGCAGTTCTAACCATGCCTCCACACAAAACACTGAATTCTCTCACTGAATGAAGCATCCCGAAGATGACAGGTCTGCGTGTGAGACACTTTCAGACGACCTCCGTCCAATCTCCACCTCCACCTGTCGGGTGAACTCCTTCAAGTTGATGAACGTCTCTCCGTTCTCATACTTGTGGTAGTCAGACAGGAACAAATCCATCACTTCTGCAAGGCAATCCTCCCTGACAGTCTGGATGGTGGTCTTGGCTTGGTCAAGCATGGAAAGCGGAGGGAAGACATGGTTCATGCCTTTGATTATCTTTTCCTCCGTGGAGAGGTGCTTTTTGCCGTTGGCCTTGCAGGTGATGATGTCATGAAGGAGACGCAAGTTCTCCATGTCGCACTGACGGAGGCAGGTGTTGACAAAGCCCTCGCCCATCCTCTGGCGAATGATGCTGAGTTCATTTGTTTTCTGCTTGGTCTCCTGCACGAACTCTTTGAAGCACTGTGGGAAGCCCTCCAAATCTGAACTGTCGTCAGACCTGTTGCCTTTGATGTTGACCTTGATGGACTTCCGCAACTCCGCCATTGCATCCTCCCGCTTGAGGTGCTTCTTTGCAACACGTCCACGGACACCTCCTTGGACTTTAGGAACCACGCAAAGAGGCTCACCGTACCGAGAAGGTCTTGAGCCATCATCAACTGAGCCAGTGCATCCACCTCTTCGTTAGCTTGCTCTGCTTCCTCTTCTTCTGACTGTTCTGCTTCCTCTTCGGGAACTTCTGGCTGTTCCTCCTGCTCTTTCTGAACATAGCCACCGTCAGTCGTCTTCTTCGGCGACATGATGACAGTTGTCAATGAGTTAAGTCAGGGGCTTACTCAGATACACTACAAAAGGCTGACGGCAAGAAAACTCATAGTCATCTCAGCAAACAAGTCTCTTGCACGGTGAGATTGTTTCCGCTCACAAAATCTGGGCATCCCGGCAAGACCGAAGATGTTGATGATGATGACGATGCAACGTGGCGGAAGGACGAGGGAGAGAGAGAAAACAAATACACCACCAACGCCCCAGAACTTGATAACTACTAAAAGGGCTACCTCCTTCAAATGAAAAAAATGTTTGCCCCCAGCCCAACAATGAACAAGGGGGGCAATTACCCAAATGATTACCTTAACGAAAACGATAAATAAGCTCCCTAAAAACCCTCTTTTCAAAACGAATAAGGGGGAACATAGATTTGAGATGAACATAAAAACCAGAACAGGCAACCATCAACAGACCACCCCCCAGGCCCCCTACTTTCTCCATTTTTTCCCCAAACCCCCCCCCAAAAAAAAAAATAAACAAATAAACGGAAGCGGCATTTTTTAGGGAGTTTCCCAGAGGAAACCGTGGAGCGGGCGGCCTGAGGCTGGAGCTCTGCCTGGCGGCCCGCACCATGGCGGGGGAAGAGGCGCCCTCGCGCCCTTACGGTGCCAGGCGCCGCGGCCACTGGAAAGCAATGCCGAGAAAAAATCCGGTCGTTTTGGTCGTTTCATCAACGGTTATGCCCCAGTTTTGCCAGAATGTCAAAACCCCCTTTTTTCCATTCTTTTAGAAATGGTTTCCCTTAAAAAGTCAACAAAAAAAAGGATGCGCTTCTTTTCTCATGGCCACTAGGCATCTGAGATTGGGATGCAGTATGTCATGCTTCATCGCCTTATTTTTGGTGGGTCTCGACTAAAATGCCTCATCATGAAGTCGCAGTCATTTGCATATGAGCAGGGATGGAAGCAGACCTTTTTTTGGAGCCCCGCAAGAAGTTCAAAGTTAGCTTTGCGGATACTGCCCTGACTTGCTACGCTCCACACTGAACTGGTGTGATAGATTTTTTTCTTTCTTCCACGCCGCAGTTTGCGCTTTTGGCCTTTTGCCCCCCAAGCTACGGTCAGAGGTCGCTGCCATGCACTTGCGAGATGACATGTGGCTGCTCACCAAATTGATCCACCCATTTTGGGGTTCCTCTATAGAGCCAAGCCCAAGTCAACCAAACCCACCAATTCAACGAATTCAAATCAACCAAATCATCAAGTCAACCAAATCATCAACCAAGTCAAAACCACACCAACCAAACCCAACCACACCTACCACACCCGATTCCATTGCCTCATTTTGCTCGTGCTTGGTCGGAACAGGCTCCTGCTCCGTGCGCGTGTGGGCGGGCCCCGGGATAGAGGATGACCTTTCAGGCGCTTCGGGCGAGAGGTGGGGGTGGGGGCCGGGGCGGCGGCCAAACTGAAGGGGAGCTGTGTGTGTGTTGGTGTGTGTGTTGGGGGGGTGACGTTTCAAGGAATTGAATAAAACCCCTGAGAAAAGAGAGGCCTTGCCTGAAATGAAGAAGGCTTGAAAACCTGGAAAGATGTCCGCACAAGCAAGCTGCAGCATGGGCTGTTTGTTGTTGGGTCAGTTGCCGTCACCACAAAGCATAGTGGCCCTGAAGGGAAACCTGAAGTTGAGCATGCAACCAACCAACCAAACAACGCAACCAACCACACCAACCACCGACCGAACCCCGACCGACCGACCGACCGACCGACCGACCGACCGACCGACCAACCAACCAACCAACCCACCAACCTGAAAGAAATGCTTGGACTTCGCTTTACGATCTGCGCAGCATGTCATTATACGGCTGGAACTGGAATTGGAGTGTCTCGTTCTTTTTTGTTTCTTTTCTCCCGGCTTCGCACCGGGCATTCCTACTGCCGTGACATGCCGTGACCCCTGGTCCTTGGGGTCCAAAGCTCCGGGTGTTCGGGTCCTAGGATCACCCTGGGCGACGGCGCGGCGGCGACCTCCCGCCGTTTCGACTTCAGCTCCTTGCAGTGTAAGACTCGGGCGATCGACCGTATCGATGCGCTGGCTGGCTGTGCTCAACCAGAAGACCGGTGACCTGTGCATTCTTCTGTTTATAGGTGCTGTCTGGTGTGTTCTTTTTTGATTTGGTTGTTAGTTTTGATTGATCCAGGTTCCAGAAGGCGAGAAGGCGTGAATTCTGGTGCCGTGTGTGCTGTGGCTTGGGTGGGTTGGTGCGCCCGGATCCGGGATAGAATCGAACCTTTGGCTGGGTCCCCAACTCGACTTTTAAGCAAGACCAATATCGAGCCATTCTTGGGAATCATCATTGTTCAGAGTGGTCATCAGCATTTCTGGCCGGAGGACGAAGGCTTGGCCCGCTCCCATTCTTGGATATGAGCTCCACTGCTGTTTCCCGACTTGGAAACATTATGGGGTGTCTATCGGTTGTCTTTTGGCATTTGTATGCTGCTTCATGACCGTAAGAGTTAGATTGAAAACAAGCTCGCAGGCCGACAAGGTTTCTTAGCCGCTGACTGCTGACCGCCCGTCCGCAAAGCGGACGAGAATTGTCTGGAGACCAAAGATGTTGCCCGTATCAATCCAAACCCGGGTTGGGCTTTTTATCTTTGTGGAAACACAAGGTTTCATGAAAACCCTTAGCCAAAACACGTGGATTCGCGCAAGTCACAGGAATCTTTTTTTTTTTTCCCAACCAACCACAACCCCATCCAACTCCATCCAAGGTCGCTTTTTTTTTGACATGTACAAAAGCCCTGGTATATTACAGTGTTTTGCAAGCATTGGAGCGTAAACAACTACATCCCCTTGAAGCACACCTTCGTTTTTTTCCTTGGACGCCGCGCCGATAGGCGAGGAGCTTTTTTCGAGTGCCAGAACTTCTGCCTCTTCGAGCAGGAGAGAGGGAGTCGTGTCGAGTGGAGCCCAGAAAATATAGGGGCGAGTGACCACCAGGGAAGCCTAGCCCTTTAAGTACAGAAATAGTGAAGGCGTTCCAGTCGAATCACGGAAGTGGACAATTCACACCTAGCCGCGCACAAACTATTCGCGCTCTGTCTTTGTAGCCTTTGTGCTAGAAGGAGCAGTCCACCCAAGGCGTGGTTCCAGGAAAATCTGGAGCCGAAGAAGCTCAAGATCCAGGACTTCTGTTTGCCAGTTGACTCTTAAACAGGATTGCGTTCGCTCGAATTGCTTTCCAAATGTTGCAGCATACATGTGCCGGCAGCCCGTCAAGTGCACAAGCCTCCTGCAGCCGAAATGGTGTATGCTCACGATCAGTGCTGAAGCGCAATCTTTGCAGAACCCCCACAACAAACCCCTCTTGTCCTACTAATTGGGCGCCAAGAGCCATTTTGGGCTGGTCCCTTGCTTGGAGATTCTTTACCAGATGATTCGAGAGCCACACGGTCTCTCCGTGCCTAACATCAAGTCTTCCAATTTCAATCTCCACCCGGGCGATAGCGCAGTCTGGACGAGGCGGGAGGATATGATCCCGGTGACTTTCGAGCTGATAGATGCTTGGCATGCAACAGTTGGAGGCACTCATGCGGCTGTGATGACAGACCATGGAGGTGGGTACTGGGCTGTTGAAAGGGGTCTCCTAAAAATGGCGTGCCCTTTCCAAAACTGCCTTCCAAATCGTTGGTTTTCCATGGCCCGAAAGGTTAGTCTGTTCTCTAAAACAGCCAGAATTGTGCTTCATTTTCTTTGGTTCCCCTGAAAGATATATCAAGGAGTTCCTTTGGTCCGGACTGAGGAGTTCAAGACGCAGCCAATGCTTCTGAAGGAGCCGGAGGTGTCTGCATGGATCACTGTCGGGTGATTGGACGGGGATCATCCACTTCCTGTCGTTTGAGATACGAACAACGCCTAAATCGTTGCGCAGACGCGCAAGATAGAAAAGCTTGACACTTGTTCAGAATCTCACTTGCTCCTGGGTCTCCGAAAGTGGCCACCTGCTTGTCGCTTTTTAGGCTGAAAGGGGCTGCCCCAGGTTGCTTGCGGATCCAAACCTAGCTCATGTTCAGACCTCGTGTTTCAGCATCCCAAACCTCAGGCCGGCTCCTCTTGGGCAAGCAGAGATCAGTGGAATCTCCAAAAGTAAGGCCATCCCTGAACCGCCAAGCAACCGCCCCGCATCCTTGCGGCATACTAGCCCAAAGACCAAACTTGGGCAGCCAGCTGGTGATCGGTGCTTTTTATTCAACCCTTTCTTAAACCCACGATTTACACATTTTTTTTTAAACCATCGAATCCATTTGCTTAAGAATGTTTCCTATTTTGTTTCCCTTGCTGTGTCTAACGGGAAACTAGCTTAAGCATATGGAAGTTACCCAACCACATCCTTTTGGGTTCTCCTGACAGAGGTGCATGTTGATTTGATGTTAGGAACTTTTTTCCCTTTTTTGGCCAACTCATGGGTTTTCCCGTATTAAACCACTAAAAGAGAGACACTTTTAGGTTTTCCATTAAACAAAGTTATCTCGCCAGAAAGCCACCGAGTTGAGTCGAAGGCTCGCTTTGGCTGTTTGTGTTGCCAGAGCCGGCTGGCCCCTGAGGAGGAAGAAGCCGCCATGCTTGGGGAACGAGGGAGCGAGGGAGCCGCTGGCGTGGAGGTCGAATTGATCGCAAACGGAGCGCCAGAAAGCTCGGGGTTGCGCTGTTTATAGGGTACATCCAATTCCATTCTAAACTCATGGATCCAAATCATCCGAATCTTTTCAGGAAAGCACAAAAAAGACAGGGGATACTGCCTGGTTTTTTTGATAAGGACTATGATTGAAAAGAATGGGGAACAACCCCTAATTTTTTTTTTGCTTCTTTGTTTTTTGCAGTGCTTGTTGCTCTGGCTGGCAATTCGCCTCGCTCGTATCATGTCAATTGTGTTGTTTGTTTGTGTTGTTTGGTGGGTTCTGCTTTGTGCTTGTGCCTACGCCCGCGTTTGCTTAAATTTAGTATAACATAAGCAGCTATATAATCTTACTCAATGTTATGCGCTTAGGTTGGTTGGTTGGTTGGTTGGGTCGTTCGGTCGCGGTCGGGCGGTCGCTTGCTTGCTTGCTTGCTTGCTTCTTGCTTGCTTGCTTTGTTGGTTGGTTGGTTTGTTGGTTGGTTGGTTGTTGGTTGGTTTGGTGTGGTAGTAGTTGTGTTGTGTGTGTTTATGAGTCAAAGCCGGCAAGCCTCTTTGTTTTTGTTTTTAGGCCAAAGCTGAACGCGCGTTTGGAGCCGCAGGCACTGTGTGGGCAAGCCGTCTCAAAAGTAAGAGGTCCCTTCTTCCTGATTAGCAACAAATTGATAGCCTCTATGAGCAAAACCACAACCTGGGAGAAGCCCTAATTAATATCGTATGTCACGGTTGCTTTTGCATGTGATTTACATACAAACTTAATGCGATTTTAAAACGATATATATATTATATATATATTATTGCACCGGCGTACAAACAGAAGGTATATAAAACAACACACAACAGCACGTAAATGTTTCAGGAGTCGTATTGAAATCGTACATGAGAATCGTGACAAGGGGGCTTTAAAACCAAAAAAAAACACCACACACACACAGAACACAACACACACACACGACACCCACCACGAAAACACACACAAACACACACACTCACACACGACTCTCACACACACAAATCCACACCCATCACACAAACACACACACACACACACACACTACACACACACAACACACACACACACAACACACACTCACAGCACAACACACACACACACACACACACCACACACACACCTATCACACACACACACACACACACACACACACACTCACACACCCACACTCACACCCACACCCACACCCCACACCCACACCCACACCCACAACATCCACACGCCCACCCACACCCCACACCCACACCCAAACCCACACCACAACCCACACCCACACAACCACCCCACCCCCACCACCCACCCCCACCCCCACCCCCCACCCCCACCCCCCACCCCCACCCCCACCAGACCCCACACCCCCACCCCCTACCCCACCCTCCCCACCCCCCACCCGCCCCCAACCCACAGCACGCACGCCACGCACGCAACGCACGGCCCGCACGCAGCACGCACGCACGCAACGCACGCACGCACGCACGCACGCACGCCGCACGCACGCACGGCACGCACGCACGCACCGCACGCACGCACGCACGCACGCACGCAAACTCAAACGGGCCACGCACGCACGCACGCACGCCACCGCACGACCGCACGCAACCACACACGACACACACACACACACACACACACACAACACACACAACACCACACACACTCACAACCACACCACACACTCACACACCACACACACACACAACACACACACACACACACACACACACACACAACACACACACATCACACACACCCACACACACACAACCACACACACAACACACCACCACACACAACACACACACACACACAGAGCATAACCAACCCACACACACACACCACACACACACACAACACCACCCACACACACACACAACACACACACACACACACACACACACACACACACACACACACACACACACACACACACACACACACACACACACACACAACACACAACACACACAACACACACAACACACACCACACACACAACACACACAACACACACAACACACACAACACACACAACACACACAACACACACAACACACACAACACACACAACACACACAACACACACAACACACACACACACACATTAAGCAAAAAAGACAATCAAACAAAGAACGACAGTTTGGCTGACAGCGTGGGTCACAGGGTAGCATGGGAGTGGGCTTCCCCTCTCATCCTTGGTAGCCTCCTCTGATACCTTCGCGGCTCGCATCCTTTGCATGGCTTGCCCAGAATAGCAATCAACTGCTGGGTATGTGTGAACACTGCCCCCCCCCCAACAAAAAAAAAGAAGAAGGAGACTTCTGGGTACGTGTGAACATTGCACCCCCCCCCCCAAAAAAAAGAAGAAGAAAGAAACACAAACAAGGTGGTTTCCCTTCTTTGTTTCCCTGTTGATCATTCCTTCAGGCGAAGGCGAGGAAGCGGAGAAGCGGCCGAGCGACGAGCTGTACTTCACACGCTCAGCGACGGCTGCCGCTCGGCGTTCTCGGCCAGTCTAAAGCAGGAGGATTCGCGGGATTTGTCTGTGTGCTTGACAACATGGCGACCTTTTTTCGGCACAATTTGAGCAATGTGGTTTAAATGGGCGGGTTCCATGTGGGTATGGGTCAAATTTTGAGACCGCAGGTTTTGGGTACCTGTTTTTCACCCACAGCCATGTGAGTTCTTGGGTTCCGCGCTGAAATTCTTAGGGGAGTGAGAAAGTCAGCTGTAAGGAGCTCTTGCTGCATGAGCGTCTGCAGAAGGATTTGGTGAGCCTCAGGCCGGGGGATTCGACTGCGCGCTTGAGCGGCTTTGTCTCGGTCCCCAGAAATGAACGGCTTCTCTTGTCGGTTTCCCTTGAGAGCAACGGCGGAAAAGGCCTCGTCGCAACCAGGCGCATCCCCCCTTGTCCAAAAGCTCGCTCGGGGATGTCAACTTCGATTTTCTGAGGAGACTTTCCTTCCACACGTACTGTTTGCCGGTTTTCGCGTTTGAGGCATGGTGGGTTTGTCGAACCCCCCCAAGTCCTCAGCCCACTGCCAGGCTGTAGCTCCGTAGGATTTTCAAACAACTCGTGCGAAGACGGAGTGTGGTCAAGCAACAGAACAGGGTTTCAGGTACCACTCGTCAGAAGTCCTGGAAGAACCGCAACAGTTCCCTTGTTGCACGGAAGCTCTGTACATTGCTCCAACCGAGGGCCGCGCCCCAGAGAGAAGCATGGGGACACGTGGCCCAACTCAGTCCTCTTTGAGAATCCTTGAGTTCCGTCGTGTATTTTTGCTGCAGAGGGTGAGGGGAGCTTCTGTTTTGAATTGGACTAGTCAAGGCACTGAGCTCCAAACGAGTTGATGAGGGGTGCCGGAACTTAAGAACCGCTTCCCCTGTCGGCGACCCTCCATCCCGCTTCTGCACCAGCAGTCAGTTGGTTCGCAGCGTGGGTGAGGCACAACATCACAAATTTGACGCGACTCTGCGTGGGGGAGTAATATTTTGCTAGAAGTCAAATTTGGAAGCAACCAACCCTTTCGCTGTACTCCCTAATTTGATGATTCTGACGACCTGCAGACTCCTCAAGAGTGAGTCAGAAAAGGAAGAGGCCCCTCCAAACGACCGGTTTCAGGTGACTGTCCCTTGAACACGCGCGAAAGGAAAGGGTCTCCAACTGGTTGACTTCCATGTATGGGTTGATCAATTTGCCTGGCCCCAAGATGATGGTGGTTTCACTAATGGTCACCCCATGCAAAAGACCTTTTTGATCAACCCCCACCCCCATGGCCATGTGGTGATGGGTCAAAATTAAACCACCAGGGGACCGCAGGTTTTAGTCCATGTTTCCATTCCATTTACCAGGGTTCCATTTTGGGTACCTATTGTCGACCCACAGCCACGTGTGATAGAAAAAGTGCAGGTCCCGTGGGACATCTCTCTGTTTTGCTTCTCCAGGAACCGGACGGTGCGACGGGTGGAGTGGCGCCTAGAGGGCTGCAGCAGGCTCAAGCTGGGTTCGAGCTGGCTACCCAAAAGAGGGATGGGGAGTGAATGACGAAGCGACACTGATCATGTTGGACGCGGGGGGAAGGGGGGGGGGGGTTGGAGCGACATTGGCCCCCTTTTTCGGGGTCGCCCTCGTTTCGTTTGGTTTGGGAGGCCTTTTCTAGAGACTCCCTGGCAGACGGCCAGGAGGTTGATTCTCTGCCTGTTTTCGTTTTGAGGCCGACCCAAAGAGTGGTGTAACTTGCTGGCGCACATGCCCTTGCCATGCTCCAATGACCTGATTCAGCCGGAGTTGTGGCCGCCATTTGAGATTCCTTTGAAGGGAACTTGCTTGGGGTCGAGAAGGTTTCCCCTTTCATGTGCGGCTGCTTTTGAATCCTCAGGGGAGGGTTGCTTGCGGCATCCGTGTGCACTCAAGCCAAGACTTTTGCCGTATAGCACAAGCAATGATCAGCGTGCATTGGCTATGGTGAAGGAGCTGCCGTGGGGTACACGCAATCTTGGCGACACCTTGCATGATGCTTTTGCAAAGCTGTTGCCTCTCGTTTGGGAAGATATTGGAATGGCTTGCTTACCATTTTTCTTGGTGGGGGTGGCATGTTGTTCTTTGTGTTTGCGCGCAGTCGTTAAGTGCGATTGTTTTGAATGTGTGGGGGTTGCTGTTTAGACACCATCCTCAGTTCCACCAGTACATTCCTGAGCAGCAGCAAGCAGGGGTGGCGCCAAAAAGGAAGCGGCTGACGTTCCACGGGAGGTTGCTGGAGTGCTGCCGCAGCGGGGACTCGGTGGACAGCCCCATCTTCAGTGCCGCCGGTCTGGAGAGGATCCAGTTCCACTTCTTCCCCCGAGGTTACGCGTCTCGGCCAGAAACCCATGCCTGGGCCGCCTGGGCCATGTGCACCGGAAATCCGGATGGCTTGCTTGTTCCGAAAATGGGATCATGCCAAGCTTCGGTGGGACTCGGGGAAGGGCGTTTTGGGCGTGGACAGTGGCCATGGAGCATTCTCGGAGGTCACTTCGCGCGCGAGATGATGGGGGAGTTTTTGTCCATGGTTGAGTCATTGCTTGTTGCCTAAAGTTGGCATGTGCCGAATGGAGAGTGTTTTTCAACTCGCCACAGCTCTGGCGGCGCTCTTGGTTGAAGTTGTCATGTGAAGCTGACTTGACCACATGGGCGTTTAGGGCTTTCCTTGACAACTAATAATCATCTTGCGCATTTTCCTGCTGAGCCATCAGCCAAGCAGTAAGTATGGGCCGACTTCTTCCCAACAAGGACACAATCAATTGCGCTGTCTTCTCTCTGTGCTTGTTGCAGATGGCTATGACTTTTGATAGGGCACAACCCCAACAATGAGTCGGTGAACGTGGATCACCATCCAAGTTTGGAAGATACCCACCCACAAAAAACAGTTCCCAAGTGAAGCTCATACCAGACAGGGAACAGCCTCCAGTAGAAAACGCCTCGCACCAAGGAGCCTACATCAGGCGCGGCAGCTTGACCTGGGACATATAGCCATAAATTTCATTCAGGAACCACCTCCAAAGTGGTTGGTGGACATAAATCACCACCGAAATGGTGTCCACTACAGGGTCCCTTATTAAGATTCATACCCATATGAAGCCTTCAAAGAGTGTCGTTTTTATTCAGATTGGTTTCCCGTTTGAAACAATTCCAACGGTACCCTCCAAAATGACAATTCTACCTAGATTTGGCCAACTTGCGCCTTTTGCAAGCTGACAAGCAACGCAGGTGAAGAGTTGATGAATGGAATACTACGTACTCTTACTGGCTTACTAGCGTTCCAACTCTAGCGCTGCGGCATTTTTGCCCGGATGGACTTTTTGAGCTTGCAGCGCGAATACTGCAGCCAGGCTGAGTGGCATGTCCACAATGGACATTAAGGGTTTTTTCACAAGGAAACCACAGGGAAACCGAAGACCATTGGGGTCTCGTGTTTGGAGACACACCCATTTGGAACACATGATAGGGAGTGAGACCGAGGCAACATGATGCTTTGTGTTCTGCTTTTGAAGCTCCATACTTCCAACAGCAATCCTGAGCAGCGCCCAGGTGACCTCCGTCAGCCTTTTGGTACCCTGCTTGTATTGGGTTACTTCATAAGGTCAACAAATGAACAGTCAGAGTGCCAGAGCAAGCGGTATCAATCCTCATGTGGACGAACTCGCGTCGAATTTTGGAGGCTCCACTTCGCCTTGCTCCCTCTTCGTGAGTGGGCCCGACCGGGGCGTGGCCATACGAGGCGCGAGTTGTCACCTACGCCTTGCCATGGAGCCATGTCCCAGAAAACGCAAGTGTCAGTCCGTGTCTGCTCCGAATTCCATGAGGACAAGTCACCTATCTTGGCTTTCATGCGTTAGGGGAGAACTGATGGATTCTGTGATATTGCTGTGTATATCCATTGAGAACTCTGGGTTAGTCACTCCGGCGTGCGCGCCCTGCGAGGCCTGCTTTGGGTGGGCAGCCAGGGCCGGCAATTCGAGCACCGCTTCAAGAGCCGCGGGGACATGGGTGGCCGCCCCAAGCCGCGCGCCTCAGAGTGAGGACAGGCCGCCCGAGATGTGAAGGAACCGCTAGAAAAATGGATGGCAGAGCTTTTGCCGAACAGGTGTCACGATTTTCCTGGATTGAGTGTTCCACAACTCAACTCATTGTGACTAGTTCAAAAGGGCTGCAGCCTCCAATCCCCCGGCCGTGGCTCGTGGTTTTTATTTTGGGGCCAGGCCATCCCCCGCATAGGTGTCCTTTTTAGGTGAGCCTGGTTAGAAATAGATGGTTTCATTTGCCAGGGAAACCCATCGATTTTTCCAAGAGGCCACCCATTGATCCCCCTCGCTTTTGGATCCAGAACCGACTCAGCCGTTCGATTCCCGCGCGAGCCGAGAACCGATTCAAGGTTCGGGCCCTTGGAGCAGCTGCATGACCCCCAGGACGGCGCAGCTCGGCCGGGCTCACCCGTACCTGGCTTGATGGGGATACTCAGTTGTTCAGTGGCACCCTTTTCCCCCTTTTCTGTGGTGGCTGCCCCACCAAAAATGGTCTTCCCCAAAAAGGGCTCCCTTTTTTTCTAGGGTCACTGAACAACTGAGGATAGGCATGATAGGCATGATACTGTGGATGGGTGCGAAATCCTCTTAGGCACCACCTAAGAAACTATGGTTGAAACCATGGTATGTTGGTATTTGCTGGGGAATCATCGTTGCATGGTTTCTTGGGTGGTGTAGGATTTTGTCCATCCACAGTAGGGATAGGCATGATAGGCCCAGAACCAGTCTATGGAAGTCAGGTTTAATTAGTTGGTGCAGCTGAGAATGTATGGGTCCAACAATTGGCGCACGAAGCGCCAATCCAAGACTCTGCAGTAGATGTCCACTGTGATCGTAAACTGAACTCCCAAGTGAAGACCAGCTTCGAACTTCGGAGTGGGCTGTGCAAAGGCCTTCCTTCTTTTTGAGCAAAAAGGAACTTTGAGAAATCAGAAGCACAAGCGCAGCAAGAGGAGAGGAGCAGGCCCGCTAAAACTGGGTGTGTGTCCTCCTGTTTTCAACTTAAAGCCGAGGCGAAAGGGTACCCTCCAAACGCACAAAGCCCTATGTGCCAAGGTCAAATGGCCACTTTGAGCTGTGCTTTCGGGTGTCAAAGATTGGGTTGCCCCTTTTTGCGCATTCTTGGTGAGTCCCCTGCCCAAAAGGGTCCCAACGCTTTTGAGCCGAAGCAACTCTTGGCAACTCTTGCGACGTCAGTGGCTCAGCCCGGCCCCTGGTCAGCCGAGGTTATGATAGCCGTCGACTTGGCAGAGGTCGAGCAAGATGCTTGGAGGCAACTTAGGAAGATGCACTCGGCGGGATGTGGCAGTGAGCGGCGCTTCTGACCTGTTGTTGCTTTTCAGCGGTACGGAGTGCCCCCCTACTCATTGAGGCAGTGCAGATTGATCTTAGCCTATTGAAACAATCACAGTACAGTAGCGCGTAGAGTGTCCTCCCCCATCATGAGTATTCTTCTTGATCCCTAGTTTGTGCTCGGCGAATTATTCGCACTCAGTCAGACATGTTCAAGGCTCCAAGAAGTTATTGACACCTAAGGAGTTGCCTGAGCACAACCAGTCGATCGTGCTCCGCGACGCACGCGCAAGTTTCTCGGCGAGACGTGTTTGTCTCCCAGCTTTGGGGTCAGCTGAGGTCGAGTGGGTTGCCGCAAAAGGTTCGGGGCAACTGCCCTTCTGTGGTGGATTTCATAAGGTGTTGACCAGAAGTCCCAAACCCAAGATCTTGTGGCATTTTGGCAGTGCCTCAATGACATTTCCTGGCCTTCCGAAGTCCCGCCCTCATGGTGACTGATGCGCACGCCTGAGGCACCAACTCCGACACTTCGCCCCTGAGCCCCAGCCGCCAAGTGTCCATGGCACCGCAGACGGGGACCCGGGCATCCATGCGGCTGAAGCGGGAGGACCCGTCCAAGACGGAGGAGCTGGTGAAGTGCGTGTCCTTGCCCTCGCTGAAAGCGGGGAACATGTCACAGATGAGCATGTACAGCACCAAGTCTCGGCGCTCCCATGACTACTGAGTCTGGCTGGACATGTAGCATGACACAATCAACATAGAGCTCCTTGGGCAGAAAGATGCTAGAATTACTATGGTCAGATTCAGATCAGGCTTGCAGTTGTTTGGGAGAGCATCTCTGAAGGGGGTCGCGAAGTGATCCATCCCTTATTCAGATTCTGTGCATGCAGTTTCACTATGGAAAATGCGGAGTGCCACAGGTCACCCCCAACGAAATCTTGTCCTGGACTGGACATTTGGTTGATGAACGTGAGTGTGCACGCTGAAGCATTGTCCACGCTTAAATCATCTTAGTATATGCCCACTCCCTTGCTTTGTGCTGGCGTCATGATGACACATGTGGCATGCTGCAGCTCTGCTACCAGATGCAGCAAGATCATGGTGGCACAGCCATCAGCTTCCAGATTCCAGCATGATCCCACGGTCAGGCAGCTTCCCAGCCAAATTGACATGGAACTTCTGAAGTAGATTTCTCAACGCTTGCTCATGCGTTGGTTTCCGCTCCTCGGTTTCTCTTGCTTCTGCGGCCATGCGCAGTGCGGTGACGCGTGTTGGGAGCGCTCCTCGGCTGCATGATGGCATTGCAGAATGTCGGAGGTCAGATCAGGCAATTTGGCTTCATGATTTAATACCCCATAGGCCCTGATTCGATAGTATCCTTGCTCAATTCGTAACAGCCAGATCTATCCAGTACTTCTCTGGCAAGGCAAAGCAATTTGTGACCCTCCCGTGTGTTTACTTGCAGGTCGAACATGGCCTTCAAACAGAATTCCTTCACCCGAAGCAAGGAAGGCCCTGTTTGGGCTGTACAACCCTTGGGTCACGAACAGGGTCAATCTCTCCATGAGACCCAAAGCAGGCTGAAGGAGGACACCGATCTGGGGGGGGGGGTGTGAGGGGTGTGGTGTGGGGTGTGGTGGGGGGTGGTGTGGGGGGTGGTGTGGGGGGGGCTGGTTTGCTTCGGGATCGCGTCTGAGGGATCGCGGCGTCTCTGGTCCCTGCTGGTGCCTGTGGGTGTGCTGGCGGCTCCGGCACTCCGGGCCTTTGTGGCGCCCAGGCGGGCCGAGCCGGCAAAGCCCGCGGCGGAGTCAGCCAATTTGGCTGTGGTTGTCAAAACCAATGGGATCCCATTTTCAGGTGGGTGCACCACCCATCGTAGACTATTTCAGAGGGGATTGGGATGCTCGCTGGGGGTACGGGATTTTGACCCATGGCCATTTGGACCAGCCCCTGGTTGATTTACATGGGGGTTGTCCCGTTTAATACCTTTGGGAGATTGTTCTGGGCTGAACAGGGGCTCTGGCGATGACATGTTTCTCATCAAGAGCATTCATGACAAGCTTCTTACCTTGATCTGCTGAACAGGTTGGCAGGAGCACACTGGCCGGCCCTCAGGCATACTTGTGACAAGTGCAAAGACCATGATTCATGATCACGATGAATCATAGTCTTTGCGCTTGTTAAAGTAACCCAAGCTGTTCGCACAGCTGTTTTGTTCTCCCAGTTGGATATGTGCCAAAAGGTAGTGGGCCATTTTAAATGGTTGGTGCTGTCGTACCAAAGGGGATTCCTGTGGCTCGGTAGCTTCCTTCGTTGCACGAGGAAAAGCCTACTTGCAATATCTAGAAGTCAACCGTAGCTTTCTGTCCCCATAATTTTACCAAAGTCACGCAGTGATGGCAAGGGCTCAGTTGCTTTGTGCAACTTAACTGGGGTTGGGAGGGGGGGCCATTTTTGAGCCCAAGCCGCCTTTCGATCGCAAGATCTGCAGGGCCATCTCCCGAGGGCTTACAGCGAGGGCAGCTGAGGAGGAGGAGAAGCAGACAGGCCCTTGGCCTGAATTGATCCCGATCAGGAGCTGTGCCGTGGTCACACATCCTGTTTCTCAAAGTTGGCAGGAGGGTCATCAAGCGCTCAACAGGGTTCGTAGAAACGCATGGAGATTATTTCTATTGAGGAAACCATCCATGACACTGAACTACAGGAAGCCATTTTGGCTCAAGTGACATCTCAAGCCCATCCCTTTTGCTTCTGCCCACCATGGCGAAGGCTGTGTTGGACGCGTTGAAGGCCACCGGTGCCGCGGAGCTCTCCAAGGCCATAGAGGCCGTGTCCGCGAGCATGTTCCAGATCAAGGAGCTGAAGGGCCGGGAGATCCTGGACTCTCGTGGCAACCCCACCGTGGAGGTGGACCTCATCACCGAGGGCGGCATCACCGTGACCGCCGCGGTGCCATCCGGGGCCTCCACGGGCATCCACGAGGCCTGCGAGCTGCGGGACGGCGACAAGGCCCGGTACCTGGGGAAGGGCGTGCTGAAGGCGGTGGAGTCGGTGAACACCACGCTGAACAGCGCCCTGAAAGGCTTCGACGTGTCCAAGCAGAAGGAGCTGGACGACAAGATGATCGCGCTGGATGGCTCGGCCAACAAGAGTAACTTGGGGGCCAACGCCATCCTGGGCGTCTCGATGGCCGCAGCAAAGGCTGCAGCCCAAGCCAAAGGTGTGCCGCTCTACCAGCATTTTGCAGACCTGGCGGGCAACGGCTCCAAGCTCACTCTGCCGGTGCCCTGCTTCAACGTCATCAACGGAGGCTCTCACGCTGGCAACAAGTTGGCCTTCCAGGAATACTTCATCATCCCTGTGGGTGCGTCTTCCTTTAAGGAAGCCATGCGCATTGGTGCGGAGTGCTACCACACCCTGAAGGGCATCATCAAGAAGAAGTTCGGCGGCGACGCCACACTGATCGGCGACGAGGGCGGCTTCGCGCCTCCCTGTGATGCGCGCCAGGGAGTGGAGCTCATAATGGAGGCCATCGAGAAGGCGGGCTACAAGGACAAGTGCAAGATCGGCATGGACGTGGCCGCTTCCGAGTTCAAGGTGGAGGGTGCGGACTGCTATGACCTGGGCACCTGGTACCCTGATGCAGAGAAAACCCCGGAGTTGAAGATGACGGGAGAGACGCTGGCAGACTTCTATGCCGACCTTTGCAAGAATTACCCACTGATCACCATTGAGGATCCGTTTGATCAGGACGATTGGGCGGCATGGACCACATTCACAAGCAAGGTGGGCGGACCGACTCAGGTCGTAGGAGACGATCTGACCGTCACGAACGTGTCCCGTGTGAAGAAGGCTATTGATGACAAGGCCTGCAACGCCCTGCTGCTGAAAGTGAACCAGATCGGCACTGTCTCAGAGTCCATTGAGGCGGTGAAGCTTTGCAAAACCAACGGCTGGGGCGTGATGTGCTCGCACCGCTCTGGTGAGACTGAGGACACGACCATTGCAGATCTGGCAGTGGGGCTGTGCACGGGGCAGATCAAGACCGGTGCGCCTTGCCGCTCCGACCGCAACGCCAAGTACAACCAGCTGATGCGCATCGAGGAGGAGCTTGGCGACAAGTGCAGCTATGCAGGTGAGACCTGGCGCAAGCCAGTGTGGATGGCCTAATGTCCGAATTGTTTTGAAGCTTAGCCGAACTGGGAGGTGCACCTGCGTGCACAACTGCCGCTGGCGCTGTTTGGCGCAATGTGCTTCTTTTCCACACATACCGTCAGCGGACAGCTCTCTTAGAAAATGACCCATATTCCAGTTTTCGCCATAGAACACGTGAGGTCTGCTAAAATTCCCCACAAGTTTTCTCGGATGGGCTCCAACCCAACCTCATGAGGGAGGCCCTTACCGACTGTTGTTTTTGAGTAGGGTGTTTTGACAGACCTCATATAGGTGTTTGCAAAAATAGGGGACTCCTGAAAAGGTTTATGTCCTCTTGGTTTCCTTTTGGACACCAACCGAAAGGGGGGCTACCGTCTTCAGACATCCTCATGTTTGGCACAACAGGATCCTTCAACAAAGAGCAACATAGAAAGTCAGATGGAGAGAGAGAGAGAGAGAGAGAGAGAGAGAGAGAGAGAGGGATGGACCGAGAGAGAGGGATAGAGAGAGAGAGAGAGATGGTGACAAGCTTGGTTTTCCATGCCTACATTTTGGTACTTTTCAATGCTGCTTGACCCCGCATGGATAGGGGATTCTTCACGTTTGGGTGCACCTGTAAACCTGCCGGAGCTCGCATCGGCCACTCAGCCCCCTACGCATCATCGGAAGTGATGGAGGTTGTTTGGCGAGCTGCACACCATACCGCACTAGGATTTGTCATACAGCCGTGGAATCCAACCCACAGAAGATGCAAACTTTGCTTTTGCATCACCTTTAGAACGCCAACCCTTGGCAGTATGTTATATTGTTGCGAAGAGACACGGCATCAAAGTGCCTTGTGCAATGTTGGCAGTAGGGGTGTCCTAGATTTCTTGGTCGGGGTGCCTCAAAGTGGCTTTCCTTTCGTTTTCGCTCCGAACCAACCTGGAAGGGGAACACACACACACACACACACAGACACAGACTCCCATTTGGCGCCCGGATTCCAAGGCCATCAGGTGAAAAATGCCGGATCCTTCAAGATGGACCCGGAGGAGCGGGACGGGTGACCTGAATCGGTGGACGCGGGTGTGGCCTAGACCTCCAGTTGAGCGCCCAAACCCAGTTGGGCATCTTAGAGAGGGGTTGCAGTCGGTTTAACATGGATTGTGGAAAGGCCTTTGCGAACCTGGAAAACCACTGTGGTATCAACCGAACCGAAAAGCCCTATCCGCTTTGGAACAACGGACCAACTATGTTTCGGGGGAGAGTAGTTTTGGAGCCTTCAAGGGAACACACTCAGAACATGTTTCATCCCCGAGTTGCAAGATGAGCGTGCCTCAAATTTGGACCGATCCGGTTGGTACCATTTTCGGTGTCCACATAAAACCAATCCAAGGGGTGTCCCATTTTTTCCTGAAGGGCCTAATTTCCCCTCAAAACCAGTGTCACATAGCAATGTGCCATTCGAGCCTTCCTCTTGAAACCCTCCCAAAGGGTCTCCCATTCAGCTTGAGTGCGGAGCTCTCGCGCGCTCGCGCCAGGAGATGGAGCTGCAGCAGCGGGTGCGGGATCACCAGGACGCTGAAACGGTCGGATTCGGTCCCCTCAGCCCGGAGGTTGCATCAGTTAGAGATTCTTGTCCCCCCGAGGTTGCGACCAACTGTTTTGACGAGAACTACAAAGAAAGAGAAACCAGCACCAGCCCACCAGAGTTGGGCCCAACAAAACTGGGGAGGTGGTTCAATCGACTTGAAGCCGACGCGAGGACGGCGCCGAGAAGTTGGATGCCGCCACGGAGGTCCGGACGCTGGCCAGGGCCTTGGCTTCGCCGGGAGTTTTGCTCGGGTGGGGCGTGGGTTACTCGAAATGCCGTTGCCCCCATGCTTGATGGAAACGGGTGGTGGAAAGATGGAAAGAGATCGCTTTCTGGCTCACTTTGGAGTGATGCTTGTTGGTTGGACAGAACGTACTTGGCATCTTTTGCACGAGTTGCTACCCCTTGAGCTGCGGTCGAACGATGAACAGATAACCATGGGTGAAGGGCACCGGACCAGACCAAACGCGTGATTAAGGGTGGCGTGATCAATCTGATGAACCTGAGCTTATGCAACGGGGTGTATATGGGTGTCATCCACATCAGTACCACCACGATGTCATCCTAATGCAGTTTGATGCGCAATGGCAAGCTGTCGGGCTGAATGTATGAACTTCTTGGCGAGATGGGCACATGCATCAAGTAACTGCCACGATTCATGCAGGCAGAGGCGGCACCTTGTAACAAAAGCTCGGTGCAGCCATGCGCACAGAATCTTGGGGAATGCGGGATTGCTGGCGTCGTAAACGATCAGGGTGTGCCTTTTTTTCCACGGCAGGTACACTTTCATTTTGGAATGAGGCGATTTTTTGAGTTACCACTCTAGATGAGTTTAATGATTCCAGACCAGTTGAATGACACCTATAGTAGAGTGGTCTCATGTTCCAATGATACGAAGTGTATGACCACTGGTCTTCAGATTGAATGCGTAGCTCTAAGTGACGCGCTCCACGCTGAAGTGGAAGCTGCGGACTGCAAGTGCGCCGATGATTTTCTTCCTTAGGCGTCCCGAGTCCTCGGCCCCCGCGGCTTGAGGTGCAGTACAACCACGGCTTTGCCGTGATGAGCACCAACAGCAGCTCGGACCGAGAAATCCAACTGCCCAAAGTGTGCGAAGTAAGTCACGACTTTGGAGTGAATGTCCCACATATTGCAAGTGACCCAACCGAACACCTGGTGAATGACACTTACAATACTCGATTCAAATCATGATGGCTTTCGGGCTTTGTTCAGGCGGTTTGGGGCCCTGAACACAACGCAGGTTTTGGCTATTTGTTGCTTTTGCGCACTCTCTGTGGATGGACGAAAATGTGGCTATCCTTTCTTTCTTTCTCCCGTTCTTCCTTTCTTCCTTTCTCCCTTTCTCCCTTTCTTCCTTTCTCGCTTTCTTCCTTTCTTCCTTTCTCCCTTTCTCCCTTTTTTCCTTCCTTCTTTCCTTCCGTTCTTTATTTTGTTCCTTTCTTCCTTTCTTCCTTTCTTCCTTTCTTCCTTTGATTATTTCTTCCTTTCTTCCTTTCTTCCTTTCTTCCTTTCTTCCTTTCTTCCTTTCTTCCTTTCTTGCTTTCTTGCTTTCTTCCTTTCTTCCTTTCTTCTTTTCTTCCTTCCTCCCTTTCTCCATTTCTTCCTTTCTTCCTTTCTTCCTTTCTTCCTTTCTTCCTTTCTTCCTTTCTTCCTTTCTTCCTTTCTTCCTTTCTTCCATCCTCCCTTTCTCCCTTTCTTCCTTCTTTCTTTCTTCCTTTCTTCCTTCCTCCCTGTCTCCCTTTCTTCCTTTCTTCCTTTCTTCCTTTCTTCCTTTCTTCCTTTCTTCCTTTCTTCCTTCCTCCCTTTCTCCATTTCTTCCTTTCTTCCTTTCTCGCTTTCTTCCTTTGTTCCTTTCTCCCTTCCTCCCTTTCTCCCTTTCCTTCTTTCTTTCTTCCGTTCTTCATTTTTTTCCTTTCTTCCTTTCTCCCTTTCTCCCTTTCTTCCTTTTTTCCTTCATTCCACTCTTTATTCCTTCCTTCCTTTCTTCGTTTCTTCCTTCCTCCCCTTCTCCCTTTCTCCCTTCCTCCCTTTCTCCCTTTCTTCCTTCTTTCTTTCTTCCGTTCTTCATTTTTGTCCTTTCTTCCTTTCTTCCTTTCTCCCTTTCTCCCTTTCTTCCTTTCTTCCTTTGTTTCTTCCTTTCTTCCTTCCTCCCTGTCTCCCTTTCTCCCTTTCTTCCTTTCTTCCTTTCTTCCTTTCTTCCTTTCTTCCTTTCTTCCTTTCTTCCTTTCTTCCTTTCTGCCTTTATTCCACTCTTTATTCCTTCCTTCCTTTCTTCCTTTCTTCCTTTCTTCCTTTCTTCCTTTCTTCCTTTCTTCCTTTCTTCCTTCCTCCCCTTCTCCCTTTCTTCCTTTCTCGCTTTCTTCCTTTCTCCCTTTCTCCCTTTCTCCCTTTTTTCCTTCTTTCTTTCTTCCGTTCTTCATTTTTTCCTTTCTTCCTTTCTTCCTTCCTCCCTTTCTCCCTTTCTTCCTTCTTTATTTCTTCCGTTCTTCATTTTTTCCTTTCTTGCTTTCTTCCTTCCTCCCTTTCTCCCTTTCTTCCTTTCTTTTTTTTTTCTTGCTTTCTTCCTTCCTCGCTTTCTCCCTTTCTCCCTTTCTCCCTTTTTTCTTCTTTCTTTCTTCCGTTCTTCATTTTTGTTCCTTTCTTCCTTCCTTCTTTCCTTTTGTTCTTCCTTTCTTCCTTGTTTCTCCCGTTCTTCCTTTATTCCTTTCTTCCTTTCTTTCTTTCTTTCTTTCTTTCTTTCTTTATTCCACTCTTTATTCCTTCCTTCCTTTCTTTCTTTCTTTCTTTCTTTCTTCCTTTCCCCTTCTCCCTTTCTTCCTTTCTCGCTTTCTTCCTTTCTTCCTTTCTCCCTTTCTCCCTTTTTTCCTTCTTTCTTTCTTCCGTTCTTCATTTGTTTCCTTTCTTCCTTTCTTCCTTCCTCCCTTTCTCCCTTTCTTTTTTTATTCCTTATTTCTTTCTTCCGTTCTTCATTTTTTCCTTTCTTCCTTCCTCCCTTTCTCCCTTTCTTCCTTTTTTTCTTGCGTTCTTCCTTCCTCCCTTTCTCCCTTTCTTCTTTCCTTATTTCTTCCTTCCTTCCTTTCTTCCTTTCTTCCTTTCTTCCTTTCTTCCTTTATTCCACTCTTTATTCCTTCCTTCCTTTCTCCCGTTTTTCCTTCTTTCTTTCTTCCGTTCTTCATTTTTTCCTTTCTTCCTTTCTTCCTTCCTCCATTTCTTCCTTTCTTTTTTTCTTCCTTCTTTCTTTCTTCCGTTCTTCATTTTTTCCTTTCTTCCTTCCTCCCTTTCTCCCTTTCTTCCTTTTTTTCTTGCATTCTTCCTTCCTCGCTTTCTCCCTTTCTTCTTTCCTTATTTCTTCCCTTCTCCCTTTCTTCCTTTCTCGCTTTCTTCCTTTCTCCCTTTCTCCCTTTCTCCCTTTCTCCCTTTTTTCCTTCTTTCTTTCTTCCGTTCTTCATTTTTTTCCTTTCTTCCTTTCTTCCTTCCTCCCTTTCTCGCTTTCTTCCTTTCTTCCTTTTTTTCTTCCTTGCTTTCTTTCTTTCTTTCTCCCGTTCTTCCTTTCTTCCTTTCTTCCTTTATTCCACTCTTTATTCCTTCCTTCCTTTCTTCCTTTCTTCCTTTCTTCCTTTCTTCCTTTCTTCCTTCCTCCCTTTTTTCCTTCTTTCTTTCTTCCGTTCTTCATTTTTTTCCTTTCTTCCTTTTTTCCTTCCTCCCTTTCTCCCTTTCGTCCTTTTTTTCTTTCTTCCGGTTTTTTTTTCCTTTCTTCCTTTCTTCCTTTCTCCCTTTCTCCCTTTCTCCCTTTTTTCCTTCTTTCTTTCTTCCGTTCTTCATGTTTTTTCCTTTCTTCCTTTCTTCCTTCCTCCCTTTCTCCCTTTCTTCCTTTTTTTCTTCCTTTCTTCCTTCCTCCCTTTCTCCCTTTCTTCCTTTCTTCCTTCCTCCCCTTCTCCCTTTCTTCCTTTCTCGCTTTTTTCCTTTCTTCCTTTCTTCCTGCTGCCTTTCTCCCTTTCTCTCTTTTTTCCTTCTTTCTTTCTTCCGTTCTTCATTTTTTTCCTTTCTTCCTTTCTTCCTTCCTCCCTTTCTCCCTTTCTTCCTTTCTTACTTTATTCCACTCTTTATTCCTTCCTCCCTTTCTCCGTTTCTTCCTTTCTTCCTTTCTTCCTTTCTTCCTTTTTTCCTTTCTCACTTTATTCCTTCCTTCCTTTCTTCCTTTCTTCCTTTCTCCCTTTTTCCTTCTTTCTTTCTTCCGTTCTTCATTTTTTTCCTTTCTTCCTTTCTTCCTTCCTCCCTTTCTCCCTTTCTTTCTTCTTTCTTTCTTTCTTCCTTTCTCCCTTTCTCCCTTTCTTCCTTTTTTCCTTCATTCCACTCTTTATTCCTTCCTTCCTTTCTTCGTTTCTTCCTTCCTCCCCTTCTCCCTTTCTCCCTTTCTTCCTTTCTTCCTTTCTTCCTTTATTCCACTCTTTATTCCTTCCTTCCTTCCTTCCTTCCTTCCTTCCTTCCTTCCTTCCTTCCTTTCTTCCTTTCTTCCTTTCTTCCTTTCTTCCTTTCTTCCTTTGATTATTTCTTCCTTTCTTCCTTTCTTCCTTTCTTCCTTTCTTCCTTTCTTCCTTTCTTCCTTTCTTGCTTTCTTGCTTTCTTCCTTTCTTCCTTTCTTCTTTTCTTCCTTTCTTCCTTTCTTCCTTTCTTCCTTTCTTGCTTTCTTCCTTTCTTCCTTTCTTCCTTTATTCCTTTCTTCCTTCCTCCCTTTCTCGCTTTCTTCCTTTCTTCCTTTTTTTCTTCCTTGCTTTCTTTCTTTCTTTCTCCCGTTCTTCCTTTCTTCCTTTCTTCCTTTATTCCACTCTTTATTCCACTCTTTATTCCTTCCTTCCTTTCTTCCTTTCTTCCTTTCTTCCTTTCTTCCTTTCTTCCTTCCTCCCTTTTTTCCTTCTTTCTTTCTTCCGTTCTTCATTTTTTTCCTTTCTTCCTTTTTTCCTTCCTCCCTTTCTCCCTTTCGTCCTTTTTTTCTTTCTTCCGTTTTTTTTTTCTCCTTTCTTCCTTTCTTCCTTTCTCCCTTTCTCCCTTTCTCCCTTTTTTCCTTCTTTCTTTCTTCCGTTCTTCATGTTTTTTCCTTGCTTCCTTTCTTCCTTCCTCCCTTTCTCCCTTTCTTCCTTTTTTTCTTCCTTTCTTCCTTCCTCCCTTTCTCCCTTTCTTCCTTTCTTCCTTCCTCCCCTTCTCCCTTTCTTCCTTTCTCGCTTTTTTCCTTTCTTCCTTTCTTCCTGCTGCCTTTCTCCCTTTCTCTCTTTTTTCCTTCTTTCTTTCTTCCGTTCTTCATTTTTTTCCTTTCTTCCTTTCTTCCTTCCTCCCTTTCTCCCTTTCTTCCTTTCTTACTTTATTCCACTCTTTATTCCTTCCTCCCTTTCTCCGTTTCTTCCTTTCTTCCTTTCTTCCTTTCTTCCTTTTTTCCTTTCTCACTTTATTCCTTCCTTCCTTTCTTCCTTTCTTCCTTTCTCCCTTTTTCCTTCTTTCTTTCTTCCGTTCTTCATTTTTTTCCTTTCTTCCTTTCTTCCTTCCTCCCTTTCTCCCTTTCTTTCTTCTTTCTTTCTTTCTTCCTTTCTCCCTTTCTCCCTTTCTTCCTTTTTTCCTTCATTCCACTCTTTATTCCTTCCTTCCTTTCTTCGTTTCTTCCTTCCTCCCCTTCTCCCTTTCTCCCTTTCTTCCTTTCTTCCTTTCTTCCTTTATTCCACTCTTTATTCCTTCCTTCCTTCCTTCCTTCCTTCCTTCCTTCCTTCCTTCCTTCCTTTCTTCCTTTCTTCCTTTCTTCCTTTCTTCCTTTCTTCCTTTGATTATTTCTTCCTTTCTTCCTTTCTTCCTTTCTTCCTTTCTTCCTTTCTTCCTTTCTTCCTTTCTTGCTTTCTTGCTTTCTTCCTTTCTTCCTTTCTTCTTTTCTTCCTTTCTTCCTTTCTTCCTTTCTTCCTTTCTTGCTTTCTTCCTTTCTTCCTTTCTTCCTTTATTCCTTTCTTCCTTCCTCCCTTTCTCGCTTTCTTCCTTTCTTCCTTTTTTTCTTCCTTGCTTTCTTTCTTTCTTTCTCCCGTTCTTCCTTTCTTCCTTTCTTCCTTTATTCCACTCTTTATTCCACTCTTTATTCCTTCCTTCCTTTCTTCCTTTCTTCCTTTCTTCCTTTCTTCCTTTCTTCCTTCCTCCCTTTTTTCCTTCTTTCTTTCTTCCGTTCTTCATTTTTTTCCTTTCTTCCTTTTTTCCTTCCTCCCTTTCTCCCTTTCGTCCTTTTTTTCTTTCTTCCGTTTTTTTTTTCTCCTTTCTTCCTTTCTTCCTTTCTCCCTTTCTCCCTTTCTCCCTTTTTTCCTTCTTTCTTTCTTCCGTTCTTCATGTTTTTTCCTTGCTTCCTTTCTTCCTTCCTCCCTTTCTCCCTTTCTTCCTTTTTTTCTTCCTTTCTTCCTTCCTCCCTTTCTCCCTTTCTTCCTTTCTTCCTTCCTCCCCTTCTCCCTTTCTTCCTTTCTCGCTTTTTTCCTTTCTTCCTTTCTTCCTGCTGCCTTTCTCCTTTCTCTCTTTTTTCCTTCTTTCTTTCTTCCGTTCTTCATTTTTTTCCTTTCTTCCTTTCTTCCTTCCTCCCTTTCTCCCTTTCTTCCTTTCTTACTTTATTCCACTCTTTATTCCTTCCTCCCTTTCTCCGTTTCTTCCTTTCTTCCTTTCTTCCTTTCTTCCTTTTTTCCTTTCTCACTTTATTCCTTCCTTCCTTTCTTCCTTTCTTCCTTTCTCCCTTTTTCCTTCTTTCTTTCTTCCGTTCTTCATTTTTTTCCTTTCTTCCTTTCTTCCTTCCTCCCTTTCTCCCTTTCTTTCTTCTTTCTTTCTTTCTTCCTTTCTCCCTTTCTCCCTTTCTTCCTTTTTTCCTTCATTCCACTCTTTATTCCTTCCTTCCTTTCTTCGTTTCTTCCTTCCTCCCCTTCTCCCTTTCTCCCTTTCTTCCTTTCTTCCTTTCTTCCTTTATTCCACTCTTTATTCCTTCCTTCCTTCCTTCCTTCCTTCCTTCCTTCCTTCCTTCCTTCCTTCCTTCCTTCCTTCCTTCCTTTCTTCCTTTCTTCCTTTCTTCCTTTCTTCCTTTCTTCCTTTCTTCCTTTCTTCCTTTCTTCCTTTCTTCCTTTGATTATTTCTTCCTTTCTTCCTTTCTTCCTTTCTTCCTTTCTTCCTTTCTTCCTTTCTTTCTTCCTTTCTTCCTTTCTTCCTTTCTTCCTTTCTTCCTTTCTTGCTTTCTTGCTTTCTTGCTTTCTTCCTTTCTTCTTTTCTTCCTTTCTTCCTTTCTTCCTTTCTTCCTTTCTTGCTTTCTTCCTTTCTTCCTTTCTTCCTTTATTCCTTTCTTCCTTTCTTTCTTTCTTTCTTCCTTTTTTCCTTTCTTCCTTTCTTCCTTTCTTCCTCTCTTCCTTTCTTCCTTTCTTCCTTTCTTGCTTCCTTCCTTCCTTCCTTCCTTCCTTTCTTTCTTTCTTTCTTTCTTTCTTTCTTTCTTTCCTTCCTTCTTTCTTTCTTTCTTTCTTTCTTTCTTTCTGGCTGATCGTTTCACAGCCTCCAGGAAGAGCCCCCCAAGTTGGCTCAAGGCGTGTCGATGCCTGGCTACCCTGGCGGCTCCGTGGTGGGCTTTGCGCCAGACGAGAAGGGCCGGCCGCTCTTTTGCTTCAGCTCCATGTCCAGCCACACTCAGGACGCCGCCTTTTCCTGCGGCAGGAAGTCAGCCCTCTGTCCATCCCCTTTGACTTGGAAGATACTCCAACGGAACGCAGGTATGAGGTTTGGGCTGGGAAACGCGTGTACTGGGATCTCCCATGAAGCGCGCCCCAATCATGCAGAGAGGGGAAGTCGGCATGGCCTGTCGCTTTCGCGGCATCCAGAAGGGCAAAGGGACGTCCGTGCAATAAGTAAGACGTGCCAAGCTTTGGGATTCCGAGGCTTAGCTTGAAAGGCAACTGAAAGGGCACATGGAGCACCGGTTTGATTCTGAGGAGTCCCTTCTGGCCGTGTTTCCATATCAATACGTGCCTGTGTTGGTTGTCAACAGATGATAAGCAGAGATAGCTTGCTTTGCAACCAGTTGGTCATCGAGGTTTCCCAAATCGGACCCAATAAGAGAGAGAGCACGAAAGCCAACTGCACAAGGATGGCCAGCTGCGTTTTGAATGGTTTCCAAGCCAAGAGAGTGATGCTGCCAATGGATATGTGTGTCTCGTTTTTGGTGAGGGGTCCGGTTTTGGGCTTGTTCTCAGAGGGAAACCAGAGAAACGAAAGGAACACAACATTTTTGTGGGTTCCGCAGTTTGCGTCAGACCCGAGGGATTGAAGCTCTGGTCTTGAGTGGCAGGACCTGCTGAAGGACAAGCGCTGCTCACTGACCGTGGCGTCCAAGGAGTTCAAGGCACGGCGGGTCGATCTTCAAGCAACTTGCGTGTGTGTGTGTGTGTGTGTGTTTTGTGTTCCCCCTTTTTTTCTTTTTGTTTTTCGATTCTATCCTTTTCAGGTCGGTTTGTAGGACCATGTTTTTTTTCTCTTGTTTTTTTTTCTTCTGGGGTCCTCTTAGCCACTACGTAGATTGCAACTTGTGGCAATGTGCATCTTTCTGGCTTTCTGGCTGAATTGCAACATGAAATACGTTCTCAAATGGTTGATGGACATTTAAAAGATGACCTTCAAAGGATCTTGCATTCAAACTCATGTCCACTTGCTCACTTGCCTTTTGGGCCAGGCTGCTTTCATCAAAAGTACAAGCATGGTTGAATGAACCCCTGGGTGAAACATGGTAGGGGGCGTCTTCACGTTGGTAGAATGACATGCTTTCTTGATGAACCAACCCGGCGTTGATGCATAAGGGGCCAGCATTGAAGTTGAAGACCTGCAGGCAACGTGTGGATTTCCAAGCAATGCAATCATAGTTTCTGTCGAGGTTGTTTGCCATGTTTAGGAAATCCACGGTAGCTTCCACTGGAAATGGTCTGGCAGCTGAGCGCTGAGTCAATCCACGGGGCCTGAAGTCATCCATGGCATGACGCAGGCCCATCAAGCCAAGTACGCTGAGTGATGGCAATCAGTCTTCCAAGTTTCCGAGGGGAAATCCAACATAGGCGGGGGAAGCAAATTCTTGAGAAAAGGCCGGTTTTCTGAGGGAGTTAAGATCATCCTGCGCGCTGGGTACAAAAATCCGGCAAGGAGCTCATAATCATTGCAGAATGTTGGTTATCGTTGCTGTTCCAGTCACGCACATACGCAACTGGCGGCAAGCTTTCCTGATTGAACGGCAAAGTTGCCAATTCTTTCAGACCGGGTCCGCTCCCAGGGCGCGGCGGACGGGCGCGTGAACCTGCTCGGTGAAGCGACCCCCCTGGAGTCCGAGGAGATTGCGGCGGCCAAGAAGCGGCACGGCAAATATCTGCGATCTTTTCGAACCCCCAAAAGGATCCCCAAAACCGATAGCCCGATAGCAAAGGCAGAGCCTCCATAGCGGTTGTTCAGAGGTTCAGCCTATAGCGGTTGTTCAGAGGTTCAGCGAAACTTGGGCCTTTGTGTGTGTGTGTGACACACCCTTGTGCTCATCTCATGCATCATGTTGTTTGACTTCTGCAAGGGCTCGCACAGGTGGCATGTTCAAGACCAACTTAGAACCAGCCTGTTGGAGGTGTACTTTCATTTGGATATATTTGATTAGTTTGGTTGCACGGGAGGCTTATGATTTTGGAGGAATCCTGCACGCTCCTATGGCTGCTTCTCAGGGTTCCTCTATTTTTTTCCTGGGTTTTTGGGCTTCCATTTCATTCCATTTCCCATTCCTGAAGGCCTGAAGAGCCAACGATCAAGGAGTTGCCTTCAACAGGCTCCTGGCTCGGAGGTTCAACGTAGTTGCCTAAAACATGGTGTTTTGTTTTTTCGCTTCTGTTTTCTCGTCGCTTTGACTTGCGGTGCCTTGGTGTTCCTGGTGCCTCCAAATTTTTGTGAGGTTTCCTGAGAGCGATACAGGGTCCTTTCCTTGGGCCTCCTGGAGTCCTTTGCGCTTCTTGATGTGCTTGAAGATTCTTGGTGCTTGGCCCAGGGTTTGGAGCAGTTTTTGAGGCCAGAACTCTCCTTAGCGTTGAGAGTTTTGTTAGATTCAAAAGAATGATCTTCCCCCCGTTTGTTGAAGCTCCCTGGTTGTCGGCCCCTTTGGCTTTCCTGCCCGGTTGTCGGCCCGTTGCCCGGTTGCCTTTCCTCTGCGGCATCGCTGGGATCGCTGCTGCTTTTTGGTTTCTTGAGATTCTTCCTTGGGGTGCCCCATGGTGCTGGGATTCTTGAAGCTTCAACTTCAGGACCCCTCGTGGAACATCCGGTTGCTGAAAGCTTCTGGCATGTGCTCCTTGGAATGTTCCCAACATCCTTGGTTTTGGCGTTGGGTTTCCTTGGACTGCCTTGCGGTTTGCTCATGTCGCAGCTGGGGCCGAGCTGGGCCTGCAGCTCACATTTTGAAGTCTTCTATCCTTTCACACCTCCCTCCAACTGAATTCAGAACACCCGCACTGTTCTGGGCCAGAAAGAATTGTTCAGGTCAGGCTGGGCACGGGTTGAACCAAGGCTCTATCTGGAGAAGCACCCGAAGGCAGGGCAGACGCTTAAGTAGGTGCAGTGAGCAATGGATGGGCTTGGTGGTTCTTTGAGCAAGGGGCAGTGCGTCAATGTCTGGAACAAACAGGCTTTGTGGAACCGGCTGTGGCGCGTTTCTCTGGCGCGAGTTGATTCTCTGGGAAGTGGCCGGTTTGGGTGACCCTGATGTTTTTGTTTCACGCCCCGGACCATGGCCTAAGCCTCCTCATGGCCCACGCCCCACGCCCCTATTGAGGCCTTCTGGGTGGAGTTCGGAGACTTCACCTGGTATCGCATGGAGGCGACATCCGGTGTCCGGGGTGAATCGGATTGTGCCGAAGGCAGACAAGGGATGCACAGTGTCCAAATCTTCCACACGTCCTTGTTGACTCCCTCTTTGAACCCCCCTCCCTAGCTCCATTAAAGTGAATATAAATTCTCAAGGGCTCTCAAAATTGCTTCCGTTTCTTTCTCTCCTTAAACAACAATTCCTTAGAGGGTAACTTGCAGATGTGCTTTGCATGGCCCCCCCTCTGCCCGCTTTGCCAGTGACCTTTTCGCAGGTCCAGAACGTTCGCTTCGTAGGGGGCTTTGCGCGGGCCGGCTCGGTCACCGCGGAGGCCCACGCTCCCTGTGGCCGGAGGGGCTGAAGAGAGAAAGGTCCATTTGGGGGTGTCTTCGTTTTGATGGTACCCTTTCAGGTTGGTTGGCGTTAAAGTGAAACCGAAAAGGAACCACTCATTTTTGGGGGGTCGCCGATTTTGAGGCAAAGCCAGTTTTGAGGGTGTCTTGAAGTAGGTCACGCCCCCTAAAGATTGCGTTTTGCTCTTGGATTTCCCTTTGACACATCCGCAACAAGGCACCCTCCAAGAAGAGACACCGATTTAAAAAGTGAGATGTGCATGTTGCGAGATACAATCTGGGGACTCCTCCGCACGGTGCTTTGCACATTATGCCCCCCTCTAAGTGGCGTCCTTGTTCCGTCCACTCCATGGATTACTCCGAAGGCTCCCTGTTCTCCTGAAAGCTCTCGTGTGCCGAGAGTATTCCCGATTCCACTGAAGGCAGCACAATTTCGGAGTCCTGAACCCGAACCCAGCCGAAATCGACGTCGTTCGCCAAGTTTTCCATTTTTGCAGGTGGGCAGACATGCGTCCAGTTGGTGGCACACGGTTTGTACTAGGCCTAATGCATTCGGTGGGAAATTCAATATTTTCTGGCAGACACAAAGTTAATGGGTCAACGGCAGCAAATTCAGTGGATATTGCCAACTGAGCATGTGGGTATGTTTCAATCGCCTTGGGAGTCATTCAATTGGACAGCTTCCTAGAATGGTTTCGTTCTGAAGGAGGCTGAAACAGTCTAAGAGGGTTCTTGCTAGCACTGTTCCTTCGCTGTGGTGTGTGCATCCAGGGTTCCGATCTTGCGATCCACTTGGATCATGAACCAATTGCACATGACGATTTGTCCAAACCACTTCTCAGGGAGACATCGCCTGGGATGGAGAGCGGCTGTTTGGGAAACAACAGTGGGAATGCGTTCCACAGCCAATGCTCATAGCCGCACCTGCACTTATGTAGCGCAAAGCACCGGGAAGGCACCAATCTCCTCCATTGTTTCGAAGCAAACATCAACAATGGTGCAAACGCAAGAAAACCGATCAAACCAAGCCCCAGCTGCAGGTGCAAGCTGGTCCTGGGCAAACCACAGGACTTGGGGAAAGAATTGGTCAGTTTGTAAGCTGTGGGACCAGGACCGCTGCAGCACTGCATGAATCAAGGGAAGCAACGTGCCATTCGAGGTAGCCTCAAACACATACCCCTATGTCAATCCTATGTCAATCTCTAGGCTGGCTACCCAGATGCTTCAGGGTTGCAGCATACCCCTCGTATACCCCTATGTCGATGGGCTGGCTACCCCAGACGCGAAGGAATAACTAGTGGCAGCGCGACAGGCGTACGCAGAGGCGAGCCCTGATCCCATCTCCGGCTTCGGACCGGCGGTGGCGAAGCTGGTGGCCTCAGAGAGCGACGCCGCTGTTCCAACGAGAGCGAGGCCTTGTTGGTCACCATAGGGGAACCCCCAAAAAGGGTGCGCTCTGTCGTCGGTTTCCCTTCAAACCAACCTGCAAAGAACTCAAAAAGCACATACCCTGGAACAGGTTAGTGCCACCAGTAAATGGCAGCTGTTGAGTCCTCAATCTCCAGGGTGAATGTCAATATGGAGAGCTCCCTTTGAATGGAAGAACCTTTTACGGGGCTGTGCTTCAAGCAGTGGGGCCCTAGCTGACTCTATATCCGACAAAGTCAAACTTGGATGCCATCCTCAGGGGCGAATGTGAGAAGGGCAACCCCCCCAAATGACAACAGTTTGTTGCCTTTGAACCCCGCCAACCGGGCGGGGGGGGGGGGGGGGGGTAATTTTGATATAACTCCAGTCGGAAGTACAAAGAGCTCGCTCCACGCCTCTGCAGATTGGACTGATGCCGAGGCACATGAACGACGACCATCGAGAAGCAACCATTGCTATGGTCAGGCTCGAGAGTGCCGCCTATGCTTGCATTCACTTTCGAAGTGCCGCGTGGCCGCGTGGCGATGTTGATGTGCATGATGTTTGAAGGAACTACGTTGGCATCGATGTCGAAGATGCCGAAATCACTTCCATGGATAGCTGGGGCCTTGCCAGACCGCCAATTTGAGTGTTGGCATCGACGGTGTTGCTTTGAGGAGTCCTTTGACCAGCTGTCTGGGAGTCATAGCATTCCCCCGTCCTTCCGTTTTTGATATGTCGTGTTTTGCCTATGTTTCTTTCGTGACTTTTGCGGCTTTTCGTGGCTTTGCGTAGCCTCTTCTAGATGCTACCCCCAACCCACTCTCAACTCGCCCTAAACCCTAACCCATCTTAAGCTAAACCGTTTCCACCCAAACCCAGCCAAAACCAATCCCGAACCCGCTCCACGGACAGTCAACCAGCCGCCCCCAGTTCAAGTGGGTCCCAAACCCGCCAATTTGCTGAGGCATGCTGCAAAATACCGCACTTTGGCCTCGGGGCAAACACCAAAAGACACATTCTTGGATTCCGCACCCCTTTTCCCCTGGTCGTCATGCCTCAAGCTCCGGTGAGTTGCCGTGACCTTTGCCGAGCGCGCCATTGGGACCGTTGGTACGGGCCGAGGCCTGGGGATGTACGTCAAGGTGTCCAGAACTCCCAAGGCGGGGCGTTTCCGGCTGGAGGGATGGCCGCCCCGCTCTGAACCTGGGAGCCCCGCTTTGGGAAAAAGGGGGGGGTCTAAAAAGGGGCTTGGGTCAAAAATAGGTATCCAAAATGGAACCCTGGGAAACATGGACTAAAACCTGCGGTCCCTGCTGGGTTAATGTTGACCCATACTCAATATGACGCGAACCATTTATGGGTCCTGATCCTGACATATCAGCTGCTACCCGACGGCCTGGTTGCTGTTTGATTACAACAGGCATCGCCTTGCACACGAGGCTTTGACCCACACCTTCAAGTTGCAGCTGAACCATAGCAAGCAATGCCCCTGTGGAAGAACGGAGCAAGGCAGAAGGGACCAGAGTGGACTCGGGCCACCATAGTTTGCTCTTCAAGCTTTTGCTCGAGACTGCAACGCCAGTCCGTTGGGCAACGGGTGCAGCTGCTTCGAGAGGGACATTGTGCAAGAACAACGCGCTGCACGCCCTAACCTGATGAAACTGACCTTTTTGGCAAACATGGAAGGCGGAAGATCAGATGCAGCAGTTCAAGCTGCGACTGCCCTTCGTCCGAAAGCTGGAGACGCGCAAGGCCCCGGCCGCTCTGCAAGGGCGGGGGGGGGGGCAGAGAAATGAGAGCACCAGGTCAACCAGACAGCTTCCAGACGGGAAGGTGTCAAATTAGAAGGCACAAATCCAAATGATGTATGTCAAACCATAAACACCCTTTGGCCCAAGTTTGCCTTTTGGCCCAAATTTGAAAGCCGATGTGAAGCCATTTGGCGGCTTGCCTGGTTTCCGCGCCAAACGATGGATCCCACACCTTTTGACGCATTCTTGTGCGAACAAGACTGTCTATATTCATGATTCATGAGTGTATCGAAGAGTCACAGCTTGAACTTCGGCCGTCGCCAGATTGTCAACACCAGGAAATTCTGGTTTGTCGATTAGGGCTAAGAGTCAAGAGATGGAGATCCCCCCCTTTGTACGGTTCTTTGTTAAGTTTCGGATCAAGGGATTCCACTGAAGGGAACCACTTTTTCTTTTCTGCATGCAAGAGGCTTCGCCAGTTGCTGGTATATGAGTTTCTTACACGCCACTGCTGCTCTGCTCTGCAGGATGCAAAGGACGTCATCGTGGAGATGACAAAGGCAAGTGCAGAATTCATGCCATCGAAATCGGAGAAAGCCGAGGCGTGAACTGCCGAGCTGGTTGTGTCAGCCAGCGGTGCCCGAGACTGGCTGGTGTTTGTTTGGTTTGGCATGCATGCACATATACAGCATGTCATATACAACATCACATATGTACACACCTATCTATATACATGTTTGCTTATGTGTTTATTTGTTTGTGCATTTGCTTGATTGTTTGCCGATTTGGTTATTTATTTATTTTTGAGTTATTTATGTATTCATGTTTTTTTTGTTTTAGGATTCACTGATTTATTTGTATTGTGTATTACATACATATTTTTACATATATATATATATACATATATCCCCAACAAGGAGAAATGCTTCGAATGGTACCCGAGTCATCATTATTAAGCACCAGGATGAGCAAACACATTATGCAGCTTCTCGGCATAGCCCCCGGGCGGCAGGAGCCGTGCCCGATTTTCTCTTTGAGCTAGGTAAAGATTTTGAAGCCTTGTGGCCAAGAAGCGGTTTGTTCGGAACTGCTGGATCTTTTCAGCAGGCAGTCAAGGGCAGGGAACCCAATGTGTCTTGTTCCATTGTTCGTTATGCAACAGTGTCTGCAACAGCCAGAAGGCAACTTGTGTTTGTGGAGCATGCCTGGCGGTTCGGCCTTTGATTGTTGCTCTTTCGTTAAGTTGCACAGAGACCATCAAAGCTCATGGCGGCATTCGAAATGGATGAGCGCGGCACGCGGCACGCAGCGAAACGTGGCCAAGAAGGGACGCCTGTGTTTTGAATGAGGGCGGTGCATGGATGTTCACTGTTGCCAGTCACCCTTTTTCAAGGGAGAGCGGAGGAACCAACTTGCATGAACTGTTTTGCAATCCGCGTTGGTCGATTCGCAGCACCTGTTGGAGCTGAGGGTGCAAGGGAGGACACAAAGAACTTGGCCCCCAAAACCTTTTTTGCCACTTTTTGGGTGTGCACAGATGGCAAGACGCAAGAACCATGACTCAGTGTGGACAAGATGATGGAGGTATAGGTGTGATTCAAAAAAAAGAAGTCAGGGTTACGCAGGTTTTGGTCTTTGTTTCCATTTTCCAAGGGGCCATTTTGGGTCCCATTTTTTCAGCCACGGCCGTATGTCAAAATATCCACAAGAAACCGGGGGACGCATGACATTTGTCCATGTCCTAAACCAAGGGAACACATATCTTGGCCATGGCTCGCACGAATGGTAGGATCCGGCAACACTATACAGCAAAGGAAGAGAGAGACCAAGGCTCACCAGCTTTTGGAGGCAGACATTTTCAGAGAACCGCCATGCAACCTGAAAGAGAGCCTTCCACCAGGCTTTGCTACCTTTTTTTGCGGCCATTGCCACCTGAGTCCCCTTGTCAAGCTAAAGCACAACTGCATCGAGTGAAGTCACGCACAGAAGACTGAGTGTACAGCGTCCGGAGTCAAAGGCAACAACGGTCCGTAAATGTACCTTTTTGGGCCAATCTTGATTGATTTCGGTGGGTTCATGTCGCAAGGGGACACAGAAGGAACCCTGGGCAGCTGTCCCAACTTCAGTAACCGCACGACGGGCCTCCCGGCGCCGCGCCGGCGCGATGCCGCGCTTGACGGAAGAGTTGATCAGGAAGAGTGCCCCGGCAGAATCGATCCGCGACACGCGGAGGCCTCCCAAAGCCTGTGAGCATACTCTTTGGGGCTTGTTTGAAGAGACGTTGAAGGACAGTTCAAGGGAAACACTTCAATGTGTGTCGATCTTCAGGGACCGTTCTGATGTTATTTGACAGCTCAGCACTGCCCAGGCGCTGAGCACAATGACGGCGTGCTGGCGGACTTGGAAGAGATTGCGCTGCACCAGCGGGACAGCCCTTGTCGGGTTTGTGTGGGAGACACCTCCGGCACACTTCAGAGGCAGTAGAAAATGCTTGGTTTCCCTTTGGGCCCAGCTCGAAATCCGGGGTACGCTTGGGAGTGACAACTTTGGAAGGGCTTACTCTTGTCTTGAAAGCCCGATAACACTCGGCGCTGGCATGCTGGCCTTGCCCAGAATCCGGAGGCGGCTACAGGGTGCAGCCCCCAGAAGTGAAGTTGATTCTTTGTAAGCTCTGACGATTCACCAGCACGTGGGATATGGGGGCTCTGAAAGAGAGTCATCGCGGCTTAAGCGCTCGTTGCAGTGGCCAGGAGATTGAGGGCATTGAGAGCCTTGAATTGTGCTGTCGCCATCTCAAGCGCTTTGGCTGCATGGGCAGCTGGCCTGTGTTGGACTGTGCCGGACTTTCGTTGTTTCCTTTAGAGCGAAGCCTTCATGTTAATCAATGTCACAGCATGCCACATGTATTTGTCCGCCTGCGTTGAAGAGGCACTTCTTGCACCCGGTGCTTGTTGGTGCCTTTCTTCTGATTCTTTTGCTATCAGGTGGCTGATAGGCTGTCAGGCCGTGCTCTCAAGCTTCAGACTCAGGATCCTGCTCCTGCAGAATAACATCATCCCAAAGATGGAAGGCCCGGAGTCAGCGCACTTGAAGATGCTATGCAAACCCTGGCCTTGCTTGGTCTGGCCGTGCGCCTGGGGACCATTTTTGCGTCACGGGATTAGGCTCGGAGGCATGCTTCCTGATTGGCACCAGACAGATGCGGATCAAGTGAATCCCAAATTCCCAAAGTCCGGTTAGCCAGTTGGGTAAGGCTCCTACGGTTTGATAGATGTCGTAGCGAGATCCTATTATACAAACCTAAACTAAGACCATGCTAGAACCAAGCCGCTGGCTTTTGAGCCCCAGCCTTGGAAGCCAAGAGGTGGTACTACGTGTACCGTGTACCTTTGTTTGATCTTTGCTTTCCCGACGAAAGGCCAGTAGATGACAGCAGCTTCTGGATTGACTTGCACATCCAGCAACCGTGCGATCACCCATATTTCAACGGATTCCCAGGTCTAAACAAGCTCAAGGAACTGGAGTACTTGAATCTTGCCCTGCGCTTAGTTGGCAAGATGCCTAGCACAATGCTCAGATGCGCTACAGAGCTCGAACTCTCAAGTTTCTTGCCACCCCACAGTGATCGCAATCTTGTTTTCAGTGGTGGTGCAACCACGGGAACAACCCACAGCGACATTGGACTATGGCCCATTCCTGGGAGTATGGGGGACTATCCGGGGCTAACCAGCTTCACGTACGAAAGTTTTGCCAAGGCCTTGAACAACATCTCGAAGATCGAGGGCATCGAAGGATGCGAATCCTTGAAAAAGCTCGGCTCTAAGAACGTTCCCACCGCCAGATGGTAGCCGTGATTTCCGCTCACCACTTGGATCTGAAAGAGACCCCGTTTTGAGCCACAGCCAAGGCTGGACATGACTGTCAACTTTGTGGGCGTGGAGGAGTTAGAAGAGAGTGCGCGCCCCAACCAAACCAACCCACCCGGGAAGCAGGAAGGGTTGCACTCATAGGTGTCTCCTTGCGTTTAGGCACCCATCCATGTGGGCCGCAGGTGTCTACAATCTCAAGGCGAACATGATGCTTGAGGACCTGTACCTCACCGGCAATCCCTGCGACAAACTCAGTGGTTGGCTCCCAAATCGTCAAAGAAAGACATGACTCCCAACGTAGCTTCCAAGTTCATTCCCCAGACTGAGTGGCTGTTGTTCGGAGGTTGCTCAGCAACACTGGGCAAGTTTGATTTGCAGCCCGAATGAGGCTCGGACTGGTCAGGATACAGAGCTTACGTCGTTGCGCACTTGCAACTTGGCCGCAATGCAGGCGGGTGAGAGGGTAAGGTCGCAGCAACATGCAACCAAAGTGTCGTGTGAAGCCTTGTAACTAGCTAAAGTGCAACTTGGTCCTTTTACCTCATGTGGCTTCATACCAGGGGCCTTCTCTTTGGCTCATTTGGGCTGCAAGGGGTTTTCTGGCACCAGCTGCTTGTGGGTCTGCGCGTGACGCTTCGACTGACCTGTGGCGAGCGAAATGAGGCCGCAGCTCAAACAGCTGGACGCCAAGCTGGCGGGCACCCCGGAATGGGTGGAGTTGCGGATGGCAAAACAAATCTGTGAGTCAAATCCAAGAGGATCCCATTTTGGGGTTTTCGGTGCACCACCCATTTTAGTCTATTTTAGTGGGGATTGGGATGTTCACTTGGGGGTGCGGGATTTTGACCCATGGCCAAATAGGGGGAACAATAGATTTGGCCTTGCGTCAACCAGAAATTTCCGGAACAAGTTGGTCGCCTTGGCCAACCCTGACATTGCTGGGCCAGCAAATGTCCAAATTGCAACGGATGCACCGATTCCTTCAGGGAAGTGCAGCAGAAGAAACCTCCACCATAAGCACAAGCAAACCCCACACAAGGCCACAGGAGCATGTGCGATAGGCAGGCACCCTCTCGTCAGCAAATTGGATGTGCGACGGATTTTGTTCAAACCAGCCCAATATAGCCCAACGGCAATGTCGTGTGAGTGAGCGAGCAGGCTGGCACACAAGCTGTAGAGAAGCTGATGTCAATTTGTCTTGTTCTCTGTCCAGGGTGCTCCTTATTTTGCTTCTGCAGCTGCCTAATGTCCCATGGTCTATCGGCCAGGTTTGTTTTTGGGGCAACATGTTGCTTTTTTTGTAGGTTCATGAGAACCTGTCAACGTCTTACCCAACCCCTTCAGGGAAGCATTAGAATCTAGCGGGCTGCAATCATGCTGTTATGCTAGCAAACTGGCAAGAGCTGACGATATACACACACACACATGGCCCAGTTGTTCAATAGTTCTTGTTTGCCTACTTTTTCCAGTGGCTGATCTCCCAAAATGGCCAACAAGAAAGGGCACTGCCATTCTCCCCCCAAAACAAACGGGTGAAGAAGCGAGCATGAATTCATAAATTCTGCACCCGTATGTCCCCCATGGCGCATCCCGTCGCCCAGATCGTGCCGCGGGAGCGCATCAAGGCAAGGCAGCAGCTGCCGAGGCCTGACCTGCTTCAAATGGGTGTGTCTTTTGAGGGCAGGCTGTTTGGTCCTCTGTACCGGAAATCGTCACAACCACTTTGGTAGGTGCAGTTCTTCGTCTAAGAAGATCCGCACTTGCCAAGTTGGGCGTGACGACTTTCGGGTCCATGTTGAAATGCAGCCGGTTCAGGCCATCCGTGGGTGCTTGCCCCTTTCAGCAATCGATATGACACCATCCCTCCAACAAAAGCAGACTGTGACCCCACTGCCATCATGCCGTTTGCAATCACACAATCACACTAGCAGGAAGCGATCGGTGAGATTGAATGGCTGCGTGAAGAGCGGATGTAACGGTGGTTTTACCAGCACGCATCTTGCAGTAGGCTGAGGTATCAAATGTGAAGCTACTGACGGCGCATCAATCACTTCTATCCATTTCGACCACCACACCTGTCAGCAGCAACACAAACATAGCGGAAGATATCGCAGATGCGACCCTGTGGTGGCGGATGCGTCAGATCTCGCAGATGTGTGGCGGAGTGCGGCGCAGAGTCGTGGCGGGATGTGTCAGCAGATGCAGGCCCCGCGGTGGCAGATGCGACAGGCAGACCTTGTGGCGGAGAATGCTGCAGAGGTGTGGTGGAGCGCATCACGCTTCCCACTACGCCTCTTCGGCATCCGCAATGGTGCCGCAGATGTGTGGCGGGTGCTGCAGCTAGGTTTGTTGTCATTTTCAGCCCAAACCGTATGCTGCTACATGCCTCTCAGCCCAAAAGTTGGCTGCACCGTAGCATCGCTCCGACGCCAAATTCGCCGCAGTACACACGAGTTCGATTGGAGAACCAAGCCAAAAAACTGATCATGCCTCAAGTTCCCACAATTCTTTATCCTTTGCCCTGACTGGTGAGAACTTACGACATCTCCCTCGTTTTCCAGGATTATTTGTTACCTTTAGGATTCTCTCCGTCAATGATAGGGAGGAGACGGAGAAAGAGAATCCTGTGTCACTTCCTTCATGGTGAGGAGCGGCTGTGTGTCAGGTCTCTTCCCTAAGCCGCGAGTGAAGGAAGAAGTGACGAAGAGATAGAACGTTAGCTCGTGAATCCAGCCCTCATTCCCTCTCTCCTCTCGGTCATTGGCTATCTTCTCTAAAATCATGTTGCTTTGAGTCAGGATTCTCTGGAGCAGACATAGGAAGGATAGAGGATTGGGAATGTTGACGACAGAAAGTTTCCAAGAGACACCTAACAACCAAGGGATGTATGCTCTGGGACCTCTTCTTTACTGTCTGGTCCCCATCCCATTCCTCTCTCCACCCCTTCCCTTCGCTTGGGTTGGATGGAGAGTGGGATGTGGTAGAGAGAATGAACCTTTCTGTAATAGAGGTTCATCTCTCACACCTATTACCCGGCTGGACAGGGAAAGCCGGCCCGGCCCCGGCCCCGGCCCGGCCCCGGCCTGGCCCCGGCCGCGGCACGGCCCCGGCCCCGGCCCGGCCCAGCCCCGCCCGGCGCCGGCCCGGCCCGGCCCGCCCCGCCCCGCCCCGCCCCGCCGGGAGAAAGAGAATTAACCCTCGCCCAATTGATAGGCGAGAGAGGTAGATGGATGGGTGAGAGAGTGATCACCCACCTCCTGTTCCTCCTCTGTCTCGCCTGGAATCGACGGAAGGGAGATGAAGGAAGAGGAATGTGGCTTGTAGAGCCTGGTGAATGACCGTGAACAGAGGTGAGCGGGTGAGATGGTGGACGGAGAGACGACAGAAGGGAGGAATGAGGGACAGCATGTAGTCAAGGAAAAGTCATTTGCAGTCTAATCCCAGTCCTTACCCTCTATCCCTCCCGTCTATCACCTCAGTCACACGGCGGCTGTTAGCGACGGAGGTAGCAAAATTCCTTGACAGGTAAGTTCCGTCCAGCATGAGCGGTGTAAGGACTTCCTCACTGTCACTTGCCTTGTCTCTCAGAAATTGAGTCATCCTTGATTACGAGGAAGCCAACGGCCTGACAATAAGACCCTGAGCACCTTTCCCTTTCATGTTCTTTTCCTTTCACAGCATTCTCTTTCTCTTTTATCATCTCCTTTCTCTTAACTAGTCTCAACAAATGAAAAGGAGATGATAAGAAAGGAAAGACACAATAAAAGCAAACAAAAGAAATCTCATTCATCTATTTCCACTTCTTTCCAGTTCTAAATGCCGCAAATTGTAAAACCCATGAAGATACAAATAAAAAAGTAAAAGAAATAAATAGTAAAAGAAAGTAGTAAAAGAAAAGACACAAATAAAGTCAATAATTTTAAAGATGGCAAGGATTATGAATGCTTTTTACCTGAGATTCAAGCATTTGGATTAGACACGACATGACATCAGAAATAAAAAGAAAAGGACAAGAAAGAGATGACAAATGAAAAGAGAAAGATCATGAAAAGATAGCAATCTAATGAAAGCTTATGAATCTTCTGTCATAAACAAAATAACCAAACAATGCAAAGAAGATTCAGAAAATAGATCTTCGTGCCTCAGATAAATCTATTAATCTCATGTTGAATATTTATTTTGTATTTCTAATGAATCTCATTTGCAACCAGACCCTTGTCCTCTGATCATAAACTATTTTTGGAATCTTGGTTTTTTATTAGGAATTACTATTTTGTTACAAATTATCTCTGGAATCTCCTTAGGTTTACATGTAACATCAGATATTAATTCAGCATATTTTAGCATTTTCTTTTTTAATTAGAGAAATATATTGTGGATGGTGTTTACGTTATCTTCATTCTAACGGTGCATCACTTGTCTTTCTTTTTATATTTCTACATCTTGGAAGAGCTATATCTTATGCTTCATAATTTTATAATCCTAATACTGGTTTTCTGGAAGTATTATTTGCTTCTTCTTAATGGGAACAGCATTTATGGGTTATGTTTTACCGAATGGACAAATGAGTTATGGGGAGTTACAGTAATTACAAATTTATTATCTCCCATTCCATCTTTAATAGAATGGCTTTGTGGAGGACATTATGTTTACAATCCAACATTGAAGAGGTTCTTTGTCTTTCATTTTCTATTTCCATTTCTTCTTTGTGGTTTTCTTCTTTACCATATTTTTAACCTACATTTTCTATCTTCTAATAATCCTAACAGGAATTCCACTAATAATAAAATAGCATGTTTTCCTTTCATTATTAGTAAAGATTTCTATGGAAAGATATTAATTGTCTATCTAGACCTTCTTCAAATTACCTCCGGGTTCTATTCTTTCTCACATCCAGATAATGCATTAGACGCATGTGGATTACTGACCCCTTTACATATAGTACCTGAATGGTATTTCTTATGCCAATATGCTATGTTAAAAGCTGTGCCAAATATATATGCAGGATTGATTTTCTTATTTTCTTCTATCTTCATCTTATTTTACTTTATGAGAAGTCTCTCTTTTTCATTCTATTTTATAATATTTACATCTAGTAGATTTAATGGCTTTTATCTGTGCTTTTGGTTTCTGAATTTTTTTTCTTTTATTTGGATAGGTGGTCAATTTCCTGTAGACAACTTTATATCTTATGGTCGTATCTTGACATGTAATTATTATTATCTTCTTATACGTATCTTATTGTCTTTTTATTTGGATTTCTTTTATTTTTTTGGATGTGTTTGGAGATGAAAGTAAACGAGATAAGATGGCATCATATTGTATCTCTTCATCTCTTAATTTGGAAAAGCTGCCATCATTTTGTATTTCTTCTGTCATCTTTAAAGTAATTCAAGCTTGTTTATTTCTTATCTTTTTCTTTTAATATCTTTTCCTTATCTTCATTAATCGATTTTGAATGGAAATGATGGTTGATGGGATAGCTCTTCACCATATGCTGTCTATAGAATAGTCTCCTTTGAAGGGCAGGAGTGTGTTGCAGGAGTGGCCGCGCAAGTCAAACATGGGGCTGCGCAAGTAAAGCGCAAGTGAAGCGCAAGTGACGCAGTGATTCATCATCATCATCATCATCATCATCACCATGGCACAAAGATTAACACGTTTTCGCGCAAGCCCCGCGCAAGTCGCGCGCAGCCCGCAGATGCCCAAACTGCTTGGCGCAGGAGTGGGCCATTTCTGTATTTTGCACTTTCTTTTTTTGCAGACCCCAGCAACTACTACTGCTACTACTACTTCTACTACTACTACTACCACTACTACTACTATGGCTACCACTACTACTACTACTACTACTACTACTACTGCTGCTGCTATTGCTACTGCTACTGCTACTGCTACTGCTACTGCTACTGCTACTGCTACTGCTACTGCTACTGCTACTGCTACTGCTACTGCTACTGCTACTGCTACTGCGGCTGGTGCCGCTGCTTACTACTACTACTACGACGACTACTACGACGACGACTACTACTACTACTACTACTACTACTTCCGTTTGGCAACGAGCTCGTACACTTAAAGGGGCATGCTACTGGGGGACCTCATGCTTATGAAGACCGCCGCTTGGATTTGCAATGAACTTGGGATAAGAGTTTTAATATGGGTTTGTTTTTGCAGCTCGTTTGGAGTATCCTAGCTTATTCAAGGATCTTTCTCGGGGGATTGTTTCTCCGGTTCCCAGCAACTTTCTATTCTTACCACCCATCTTCTGTATGCTGCTTTCGGGAAAGGCAGCAACAAAACCCAACAGACAGTTTTCTCCGGGCTTTCTGCTTTCCGCATCTCGGGACTTTCGCTTTACCGTGAAACCGCGTGAGAGGCTGCAGCAAGAGCTTGAAGTCGCCGTGGAGGCTGGGGCGGGGGGGGGTTGAGTGTCCTGAGGTCACTTTGGTTAAAACAACACGTGTGCCATCTTTTGTTTGTTTCAGAAAGACACCTAGGAAGGGGATGCCCCACGAAGATTTTTCTGCCTTGTTGCAAGCTCAGGCGCAAGTTGGGCCGTGGGGATTTTTTGTAGGTCGCCATGATGATGGCCTTGTGGGACCCGTGGAATAGCCAGTTCAGTTTCAATCCCGGTTGTGTGAACTTTGTTCAAAAAGAGAGATTGGTGTCTCGGCATCCTGAGCTCCTGGAACCTTAGTTTCAGCGGCCAGATATCAGATTTTTGACCATCCTCCTGATATTTGTAGATCTTTTGGACAGGTGAAATAGGCTCTTGTTTGTGCAGGACGTGTAGATCGTCCTCTTGAAAAAAGGTGACAGGCCTCCGGCCGTTCTCTCAGTGTTGTGCGTCTCCGGAGGTGCCGACTGAATGTCATCTCCCACAACACTGCAAAATCGAACACGCCTGGGAGGAAGATCCGGAAATCTGGCAAAATCTATGTTTAGTTGTACATGTCAGGGCCCAGCCAAAAAGGACTGGTCAAGAATGGGCCAAAAGGGGTTTGCTGGGTCCCAAACAGTTCCAGTAGTTATCGACAGCTTGTTACCTTAGGAGAAGAGAACATCGAGTTTCATAGTTTCATGCTCGTCAAAATTAAACCACCAGCCAGGGTTCCATTTTGGGTACCTAGTTTTGACACACAGCCATATGCAGCATGAAGGACCACATGCTCTACAAAGTTCAGGTGTTGGCAGCCACGCCATGTGAAACCCAGCAAAAGCGGGCCTCCTGAATGCGGTGGTTGGGATGTCCACCTGCTTCCCTTAGCACACTTCGGCGGGGTGTACGGAACTTGTGAATCTTCTCTTAGCGTAGCTGGCCGGCCGGCCCGGTCAGAGCATCAATCCAGAAATTCACTCGTTTGAGGCCAGTAGGGGTATGAGGACCTGTGGTTTCTTTCAGGAAGCCAAGCAGAAGCGCTTGGCAGAGCTGGGGCAGCCGGTGTCCGAAGGTGCCTACACCAAGGACCGAGATTGGCAACGAATGTACATCATCCCTTGTTGCCAAGGGGATGGGAGAAATGGGGCGGGGGCTCTCGCTGAATGCCAATGTCAGTGGGGCATCATAGAGAGTGGATCACGAGAGGAATGGAGTCAGAGGGTTCGACCCTATCACGGGAACAGGGCCTGGGCGCAATAGACGGCACAGCAAGATCATGTATATGTGCCATGGTCAAAAGACCATTTGCGTGCTTATCTGACTTGGGGTTAGCGGAGGTGGTCATGGATCCTTCAATTGGGGAGTTGGACATCCAGTTTATCTCACTCAGATGACCCTGGCCAGTCAGAGTTTTGACTGCAGCATTGCAGATATGCCAACCCCTTGCATCCCTGGGAGTTGGGTTTACATTTGCAACGTGGCAAGTCTACGCGAAGTGCCGTGAATGGAGATTGTTTGGGCAGGCGCTTTGGCGTGCAGGTAGACATGTCTTCAAGACTGTGCCATAGGTCGAAATGCACATCAATCTCGGGGGGCGTTCGGACGTTTGGCAAAGTGGTCCTTCGCCCTTTGCGAGCTTGAGAACCTGCGGCCACCTGCGGCCCCTCCCTCCCCTTTTCGGCCCCCAATGAATCCGCCCGCAGCGATCCCCGGCGCTCTTCGGCTCCGAGGAGAGCCGCAACGAGATGTACCTGGAGCTCGCGGAGCAGAAGGCGGAGAAGGCGGGCGGGCGGAAAATCGAGCCGAGGAGGTGGCGGGAGGCGGGAGGCGGGGGAGGCGGGAGGTTCTTGCCACGGCCGGATGGAAAACACGAGGTTTCTGATGGACCTGGGGGGGTGGTTTCAAGATGAAGGCGTCTTTGACCGAGACTATTTGCGCGGAAGGACCCATCTGGTTTTCGCGACTGGTGACTGGGAAACGCATCGTGAGATTGTTCACTGTCTTGAGCCCTGTGCGAGCTTGGCCGCAGAGAGCAAATGAGTGTTTGTGTTGAACCCTCCTTTGTTGGCATCTTAGACCCTGCAATTTTTGTTGGGGGGGCTGACGGCAATGTTGTAACCGAAGGAGGAGGAATTTGAGCCAGACTTCCTTGCGAGCAGGGTTTCCAGTTTGGCCCGAGGCTTCAAATGTTGACACTTTGGGGCTTGAAACATCGGTGACCCTGTGATTGGCAAGCCATTGGTTGGCAAAACATTGTCAATGCGTCCGGTCTGGTTTGCCTTTTCTCAAATGCATCTCGCTGGACACTTCGGAGGGACGGAAATCGCACTGATTATGGCCAGCAACACTCACGCCAAGGGCAGACTGGCTTGTCACGGCAGGAGCGGAACGAGAAGCGGCGGATGGGTCATTGCCTCAGAGGTGATTCGCAGTCTGCAAATGGGGTTTTGAGCCCCATCTAAGATCTAAATCCAACATCTTGAAGCCTATGACAACTTTGCAGCGCTGTGCTCGCCCGCTCCCGGCGGCCAACCGGCCAAAGTCAGCTGAGTCACAATCAAAACCCGGGTAAGTGGAGGTTAGTAAGGGACAACCCCAACCAGAAATGGTCGCGGCCGCCTTCTTGATTCTTTACATGGTTCTGGGTGAACGATTTTTGTACCGGGTTTTGATTACGACTCAGCTTGGGACTGCACTGCGAGGCCAAGAGGCCAAGGAGCCGCGGGTGGTGTTTGGCGCCTCAGAAGCGTGGCCCGTGGAGCGGTCCGGGCAAGCGGTCCGGCGGGTTGAAGATGGTCATGCAACTGGTGCATTTGGATTGCTCCTCTGGCTTGTGCAAAGCCTTCATCCACCCAAGCTAAGATGCAACCTCAGAGGACTCTGTAGACTCCTTAAAGTTTGGGGGGAATGGGGGGAGCGTTGCATCCTGATTCGAACTGCGCTCCCTGTCCCAGTGTAGAGTTAGCTTTAGGCTTGGATTTAGCGCTAGTTTGAGATGGGTCGAGGGTTGTGAGGGTTCATTTAGGGTTGGGATTGGGGTTGGTTTCTAGATTTGGGGTTTGGCCCAGTAGACACTGTGGGAACAGGGCGGTCAGAACATTCAGGACAGTCAGTTGGTTGAATGGTCAACAGTTGCCCCCGTCGAAAGTGTAATTCGGTTCGGGTTCAAAACGGCTGGTGTGGCAGGAACGGTG